AGAAGCAGAGAAACCTTGGTTTCACCAGCAACACACACACACACACACACACACACAAACACACACACAAAGATTATGAAGGAAAACTATATTAAAATATAATTAGGCATTTAAAAATTGTGATACAACAATATAATGTGCTTCTGTATTGATTATATTAAATAACAGACTAGTGATCCTAAGAACTACCTTAATTTCAAAATAATAACAAAATTAAAAAATATTTTAGAAATCTGAGACAACTGTAATGCAATATGAAAATGTCTGTGATTTCTCTTGGTGAAAAGCCACGGGGATTACAATACTACTTTATTCATGAATGAAATACTAAATTTCAGCTGGAAATTAATGAAAATAGGATACATTCAAGTCCATGGAGCCCCTCAGTGGTACTTAAAGCTACAGAACATTATGAAATCAACTAGTATATAGATAGGAAGCACAAGGGCTCTATGAGGAATCTCTGGGACATTGTGGCATTAGGTAGTTGGAGCAGAGGTGGAGAAGCTCAAAGGACACAGAGAACACTCCAGCCATCAGGCAAGAGAGGACCAGGTGAGAAGAGTCAAGAATTTAAGATAAGAAAATGTCCTTGGGAGGGACCAGAGCACTGCATTATCTACAATTCCTCTTGGGGTTAACTACGTATGTGGTCTATTTAGATTCTTCTCTACTGGATCATTCTCAGTGTTCTTTCATCATTTAGTTAATATTCTTTTTGAACTCAAATAATACACCAAGCAAGGTGTTCTAGGATCGGGGATTCTTATCTCTGCCAGGCATTCAGTATTCATGGATTTAATCCTTGCAATAGCCCCATTATATATACCTTATTGTTACTCCCGAGACATAGAATTGAGGCATGAGAGGAAATGGATGGAGCCTGGGTTTGGATCTAGCTGAGTCCTACATCTGAACCACCTTCCTGTAAACAAAACAAAGGCTCTGTCCTCCTGTGGTTTATCTGTTACTGAATCAGTGACCCATGAGTCCTCTAAACAAAAGTCAGTTCTCTAAATACAATTATAAACAAAATCTCAGATTCTCCCTTGACTGCACACTACCCCATGTCCCATGTCTCTATTTCAGGGTTGTTCCCTGCTCCTTTAACAGTTTGACTTTAAAAAAAAAAAAAAAAGGTTGGTGCTACTCTTGTGTCTTCTTACTCTCTGCCTCACCCCATGCAAACCAGCTCTGACTTTCCTACTTCTCTCAAGCTGCTCTTGTTAGAGACCCCCAGGCCTCTGTTTTGCAAAGCCCAGTGGCTGCTTCTCAGTGCTTATCTCTCAGCTCTAGTCCACTTTCTGGAAACCTGTCTTTGACTCATCACTCTCCTGGTTTTCTTCCTTCCTCACTGCTCTTTATAAGCTTCAATGGCCTATATGAATAATAGTTCTCACCAGAATCATTCAAATCATTGTTGACAGAGAAAATACTAGTCTGGGCTCCCCTTAGTCATTTTGAATCAGAATGGGTGGTCTGGGTATCCATGTCCCACTATTTTAAAATAAATTGTAGAAGTCAACTTTTTTGTTTTGTTTTTGGTACAGAACAAAGTTTGTCTTTGACTTTACAAATTACTTTTTTCATAGATTTTTAAAATTACCATTTCAATTTTAAAATTTAAAAATTACTTTTAAGATAGAAATTAAGCAACAGATATAACAAATAAGTTCATGGTATTGTGCTAGAAGGTGGTTAGTGATATGGGGATAAAAAAAAGAAAAGTTCTGTAGAAGATGTGGGGTGTTGGGAAGCTAGGGACAGGATGGCTCTGATCTGTGTTTCTAGGGTGGCCCCCTTGGGTACAATCGTCTCTTGGTATCCAAGATGGGTGGGGATTGGTTTCAGGACCCACTGTAGATACCAAAACCTGACATGCTCAAGTCCCTCACATAAAATCTCATAGTTTTTGCATAAAACCTATGCACATCCTCTCTTATGCTTTAAATCCTGTCCAAATTATGTATAATATCTCATACAATGCAAAAATGTCACACAAGTAGTTGTTATATGGTCCTATCTAGGGATAATGACAAGAAAGTTTATACATGTTTGGAGAGATGCAATTTTTTTCTAATACTTTCTTTTCTTTTCTTTTTTTTTTTGGTACTGAGGATTGAACTCAGGGCCACTCAACCGCTGGGCCACATCCCCAGCCCTTTTTTATATTTTATTTAGAGACAGGGTCTCACTGAGTTGCTTAGTGCCTGGCCATTGCTGAGGCTGGCTTTGAACTCCTGATCCTCCTGCCTCAGCCTCCCGTGTCACTGGGATTACAGGCGTGCACCACTGCACCTGGTATCTAATACTTTCTTTTTAAAATTAATTAATTATTTTTTTTCTAATAGTTTTGATCTGTCTGATCAAATCTTTGCATGTGGAACCCAGGGAAATAGAAGGCCTGACTACATCTATGGTTGACAAGTCACTGGGGAAAAGCTATTAAAAACACCCTAAGGCAGGATCAGGAAGGTGTAGGAAGAGCTGCAGGTTGGTCAGGGTGGAGGAGCTGCAGGGAGCAGGCAGAGAAGGAGGTCAAGACTGTGGAGGGCCCTGCAGAGTGTGGCATGATTGCACTTTCATGTTGTTTTGTTTTTGCTGTGCTGGGATGGAACAGAACACAGGGCCTTGCACATGCTAGGCAAGCACTCTACCACTGAGCTGCACCTTGATGTACATTTTAAAAATGTTGCTCTGCTGTTGTGGAAAACTAACTGAACCCATTTCTTCTCAGTAGATGTACTTCTAGGGCCACCTTCTGATTTTGATTAGCTTAAGAAAACCTAATCAATTCTAAATACTGGCCCTGTCGGGCCTTGTTAAATGTGATGTCAGATCTTTATTGTCCCCTAGTAGCCCTCATTTATCTTTATTTTGATCCATGTCACCCTCAGCTTTAAACTTGGCATTCCTGGTGGGTTCCAGTTAGGTCTTATCCTTTTCAGAAAAGAATTTATTTTAATTTATTACAGTACATCTGTTTCTTATGAATAATAAATTTAATGCATGATTATAAATGTGGCTTTCCCATATTTGTTCTCATCCACTCCTGTAGGCCTGATAAATGCTGCAGGAAAACTTCATTCTGACAGTATAACTAAGGTATAATTTTATTATATTTTCTTAACCTCTGTCACTCAAGGAGGAAGCAAAATAGAATTTATGTGGCTGGAAAAACAAGGTGGCAGAGATTTATTTATTATGTCATAGTGCAAGAAGGTGTCAGATTTATTGGACTAAAATGTAAACGTGCAAAATGGTCTCTAATTGGAGCCTGGTTACTATCATGTGCCTAGGAACATGGAGCCCTAGAGACTGCTCTGATTTAAAAAACAAGGGATAAAGAGTCAAAGGGAAAAGATGACATTGGGAAAAGAGAATTCTCAACCTTAATCAGAAGAGACCAGTGGCTGAGCTCTCTGGCTGATCCAGGAGTTAATGCCTTATCTATGGAGTCAGACTTGAATTCCTAAGCACATCCTCCCTGATTATTTACTGCTATTGCAGCAAAAAGGCAAATAATTTTCAAGAGCTTTGGAATCCACTCCCCACCCTTCCACCCTCTGAGAGACAGTTTCTCAGTCTGTTGACCAGGCTGGTCTTGAGCTGAAGTGATTGTCTTGCCTCCCAAGTAGCTTGGACTACAGGTGTGTGCCATTGTACCTGGCAATTGGACTACTCTTAACTCACCTCTGTGCTGTCTTCAAATTATTGCCTTTACCTGTCTGCAGTTTTGTAAAACTTATTTGTCCTTAAGGTACAGGATATACTGAATTGATCCCTTTAGTATATTCCCATAATACCTTGTATTCACAAAAATGGTTCACTTAGTAAGAGCCTATGATCTACCAGGTCCCACAGACTACTGTTTATAAGTGTTTCATTTATTCTTATTAATGGTATGGTACAAATATTGCTTTTAGTCCATTTTTCACATGAGAAAAGTGAGGCCCAGAAAAGTTAGGTATGTGCCCAAGATTACAAATGGCAATAAGCCAAGCTCCTAACCCTTTCATGAATGGTTTTGGTCATGTGTGTCTTGTACCATTGTTATTTGTTATACTTCTGATATTTCCACTGGGTGATGAACTTCTTGAGAAAACAGGGCAATTTCATTTTGTCTTTAAGCTCTCTACAGTTCCTGGAATAGCCTCCTATGCATAGTAGGGGCATAGTAACTATGGGGTAGAGTGAATGGTACTCAGGGTGCTACATGCTTCTACTTTGAATTTCCAAGTTATTCTCACCCTCCAACAAAGGGTATTTTAATAAAAATTGTGAAAGAAATAAAGGAAAGCAAAAGATTGCCCAAACACTCCGTTCATCTTGGTTCTAAAGTGAAGTCACAAAGCAATGAAGAAGGAGACACATCTATGGTGCATGGTGGGGGGATGGGGGGTGGGTTCCCTTGGGAAGGGGTTCTCTAACATCTGATTAAAGAGTTCTTCACTATGAAGTTGTGTTGAAATACAGTCCCAATTTATAGATTAAAATGCTACTAGTACTGGCAAGGTGCTGCAATTCGGTTGCCCGGAGATGACAGACTTTGTTAATCCAGTAATGCCCAGTATTGTTTACTGAAACTGGATCTGGGAGGGGCTTCCTTCCTTTCTTTCTCCTTCCTTCCTTCCTTTCCTTCTTCTTGCACTGGGGATTGAACCTAGGGGTGCTTTACCACTGAGCTATATACTCAGCCCTTTTATTATTTTTAATTTTGAGAGAAGGTCTTACTAAGTTGCTAAGACCAACCTTGAACTTGTGATCCTCCTGCCTCAGCCTCCTGAGTCACTGGGATTTCAGAGATGTACCACCATCCTGGCTTTTTGATCTTCAAGATCAGTGAAAGGCTGGGAGAGCTCTCCAAGGCATTTACTCCATGTGTGCACCAGCACTTGTAAGTAGCTGCCTGCAGGTATTATGGTGCCAACCTTAATAGAATCCTTGTCTTAAATTAGCTAGGAAATTATCTCTGCTTTCCTTTATAGATTTGATATATATGTATGTATACATTCTTTGTTTTGCTTGTTTTTGAAGTTTGTAGAAATGGTATCATAACTGCATGTATTCATCTGAAAATTGTTACTTTGCTTTGTTTTTTTTTTTTTTCTCCTCAACATCACTTCCCAGATCCAATTCTTCCATGTTGAGGCTCGTAGCTATCATCCAGTTATTTTTATTGCTGGGTATTATTCAATTGTGTCCACTTACCAGTTAGTTTGCAGTCTTCTGTTGATGGACTTTTGAATGGGTTCAGTTCTTTATACCAGGAACAATGCTGCTAAGAACTTCTTTGAATGTTTTTGACTGGGTGAATAGCATGTGCCTGTAGTCCCTTCCTTTTTGAGGCAGGAAGATCACAAGTTTGAGGCCAGTCCTACTTAGTGAGAATCTGTCTCAAAGTAAAAAATCAAAAGGGCTGGGGATGTAGCTAAGTGGTAAAGCATCCCTGAGTTCAGTCCCCAGTACCACAAACAAAACAAAACAAAACAAAAACACCTCAGAACCCCAAAGGAATATATTTTTGGAGAACAGGTACAAGAATTCTTAGGGTATATATTTAGAAAAGAAATTAATGTGGTTCAACTTTTCAAGATGGTGCATGATTATTTCCCACATTTGCAAATATGGAGGGGGCAGGGGAAGGAAGAAGGATGGAGTGAGGGGGGCGGGGGTAAGTGGCAGAGCAGGTTCAGGACATTTTAGATATAGGCAGACTCTCTAGAGTGGGCCTGAGCTGAGTGCTGAAAAACTGAAAGACTGGAGCAGCGCGGGAGGGGAAATTAGTAATGCAGCAAGAGAAAACTGGGAAAGCCAGGTTAAAGCACTTTATTTCATTCAATGTGATAGGAAGCTACTAGAGGATTTTAAGATGGAGTGGATGTGATTTGATTTGTGATTTGTAAGTAACATTCTGGCTGTTCTGTAGATATGGGTTAGTGCTGGAAGTGGAGAAACTTAGAGCCAATCCTGTCAGTTCAAGAACCCGGGAACCCAGCAGTGCTGAGTGCTGGGAGCAGCCTGGGTTGGGGGCTAGAGAGCAGGTACATGTGGTAGGGAGAGGTACCCACTGTAGCAGTAGAGGTGGGCTGAGAAGGAAAGGCAAGCATCAAGGCTAACTCAGAGTCCCTCAAGCCTGTTCAGACTCCCTCCTAATTTCTTCTCAAATGTGCATGCCATTTTCCATTTCAGTACCCTGATCTCATTATCTCTCACCTTGACCATGACTACCTCTTTCCTGGGCCTCAAGCCTGCCCTCTTCCCCTCCCTTCCTGAACCTCCACATGGCTGAAAAGATTATTTTTCTAGGGGCCTGGGTGTGTAGTTCAGTGGTGTAACGCTTTGGGTTCAATCCCCAGCATGTACAGACAGACAGACACACACACACACACACACACAAAAGATAAGTCCTCCCCTCCAATCAATGATTTTTCCTAAACAAAACTAATATCATTACTCCTCCTTAAAATTCTTAGGTGAGTCCCTAAATGCCCTTAGAGCAAAGCCCTTTTTCTTTGGGATAGGGAAAGGATTTATAATATTAAATATATTTAATATTATATGATATACATGGAACTCACATTTAATCCCTTCTACAATCTCATGCAAAGTGATTATCCCTATTTTATGGGGAGAGTGGCTGAATTCTTTCCTCCCTCCCTCCTTCCCTTCCCTCCTCCTTCTCCTCCTCCTCTTCCCATTCTCTTATTTCTCTCCTCTCTTTCCTGCTCTTGTTCTTTCTCTCCTGTACTTTTTACTGAGGATCTGTTCATTTGGGCACCTGAGAACTCTGGTCTCGGAGCTCCACTTTGACTATCCCTGCATTCCAGAGCCCACTCTAATTCTTGCTACTTCTCCCAGCCCTGCTTCCCTCTCTGCCACCAAGAGAGTTACCTGGAGCCAGGTCTAAGGGCTTTTGAGAACTGCTTTTTTAAAAAAAATTTATTATTAGTTGCTCAAAACTTTACAATGATCTTGATATATCATACATTTGATTCAAATGGGGTATGAATTCTTATTTTTCCACGTGTACAGATTGCAGGATCACATTGGTTTTATAGCAGAATATAATTGAGAACTGCTTTTTACAGATTCCAGATTCTCCTAGATGGGTTGCTATTTTTTTTAGGAATCTCATGAACTAGACTATAAATACTGTTTACCACAGGGTAGAATTGAAACCACAGATTGGTTGTGGAGAAGGGTTTGGAAAAAGTCCATAAATGAGTCAGTTAACAACATGGAAAGTATAGTGAAGACTTTGTATACTTCATTTTATTGTTTTATATAAATTGAGTGCTATACATCTTTATATTAGAAAGTTTACAATAATCTTAGGTATATGTGTGTGTATGTGTATAGCACATATGGACTTGTTTGGAGAGACCCAGTGGTTAAATATTAACCAGCAATAGCATTGTAAGCTAAATAATATGATGGTAAATATCATTATAAAGATGTGTGGACACTTTTTTAGATGTGCTTTGAGAAATCGTTCACAATAAATAATCTCCAATAGGACTGGTTTGCTGATGCACATCTGTAATCCCAAGGACTCAGGAAGCTGAGGCAGGAGGATCACAAGTTTGAGGCCAGCCTCAGCATTTTAGTAAGACCCTGTCTCAAAATTAAAGAAAAAAATTCCTGGGGATGTGGCTTAATGTTAAATCACCTCAGGGTTCAATCGCTTATAAATTGCCTGTATGGGAAAAATAAAAAAAAAATCCCTAAGAACAAATTCTTTCTTTGGTCTCTGCCCACAGAGTGGTATCTGTAAATAAAAATCTATGATTGTGAGCCACATATGTAACCTTGAATTTGCTTAGGTCATTTCACCCCTGGGTTACAAGCAGGTCTCAGTGACATTTTGCTGACATTGCCTCACATGCTGCCCCCCACATTCCCTAGTTTCCCCCTTGATGTTTCTTGGGATTCCTAGGATATGTCACTAATCCCAATTCCCTGTAAGGCCCTTCAAAGTTTTCCTTGCTTTTAAGGAAGTTCAGCCTCATACTGAGTGAGCACCTTTCTCAGTCTCTTCTCCTAGGGCCCTTTGCACTTCCTTCCTTTCTCTCTCTCTCTCTCTCTCTCTCTCTCTCTCTCTCTCTCTCTCTCTCTCTCTCTCTCTCTCTTTCTCTCTCTCTTTCTTTCTTAATGGGAATTGAACCCATGGTTGCTTTAGCACTGAGCCCATCCCCAGCCCTTTTAATTTTTTTATTTTTACATATGTTCTTGCAAAGTTGCTTAGAGCCATGCTAACTTTCTGAGATTGGCCTCAAACTGTGATCTTCTTACCTCAGCCTCCAGAGTCACTGGACTATAGGCATATACCACTGTGCTTGGTTAAGGGCCTTTGCATTTTCACTCTTTCTGCCCAAGGACTTTTCCTCCTCTCCCTGGAAAATGCTGACCACTGGCCTTTCCAGCCTCAGCATTTGTCACTTCCCCAGGAACAGCATCCTTGACCTTTCCCCCAGTATCTTTCAAAACATCTCCTACTCTGTCACATGCTGCTTACTAATGATGTACCCCTTATACATCCGTGTAGTTGTCTAATATCAACTCATCTTTGAACTCTCAGTGACTTGAAAGCTGGCTTTGCCATTGCTGCTTACCTGGCACTTGGCACAGTACCTAGCACTGAGAAATAAATATTTGTTCCTTTTATTTGGTAGTGAGGATTGAACCCAGGGGCACTCTACCAATGAACTACATTCCCAGCTCTTTTCATTTTTTGAGACAGAGTCTCACTAAGTTGCCCAGGCTGGCCTACAACTTGCAATCCTCTGCCTTAGCCTCTGGAGTTGCTGGGATTACAGGCATGGGCCACAGCACCCAGCTAACATTTGTTACTTGATCAGTCAGATATGTCCCTCATTGTGACCACGAGATCCGACAGAGGCATCCCTGTGTGGGTTCCTTGAGCAAGTGATCATTACAGGCGATTTTACTTACGCCTGGTTAAATACTTTGCAGTCTGCTGAAGGGCGAAAAAAAGTACAGGAGACAGGTGAGGATGTACCTACGAGGAAGCCCCAGGGGACTTCTGGAGCAATGGCATGTCCTGTCCTTGATCTAGGTGGTGGTGACATGTGAAAACTTGTGGAGTGTATAAATGTTATGTCTCAATTGCAAAAATAATAGGCAGCAGTACAGTGCGCAGGTCATCTGAGCTCTGGACTTGTTAGTTGCTGAGCAGGCTGAACAAATGTTAGCTAAAGGGTGGGCTGAACACTTGACCCTCACCCATCTGTTTCCTGATGGCTTGTTTGCGTCAAGGCTGAACACTCAACCCCACTCAAGGCTGAACACTGGACACCCACCTCTTTGGTGTAAAGGAAACCCACATCTGATCCCTGACCCCTCTGCCAGAAGGCAGAAGATGACACCCTTAGCAACTACTGTATGATCCAATCACTGTACGCCAATAAGACCCCATTAATTTTGGCTATAAAAACTCTCTCCTGCCGGGCCCCCCCTCTCTTTCTCTCTCTTTATTCTCTCTCTCCCTCTGTCTCTTTTTTCTCTTCTTTCCTTGTTAATCAGACACCACCGCAATAAAGATCTCTTGGTCTCTCTAAGTGTCGTGGTCACTTTCCTTTCATCCAGTACTGTAACCCAGGAAGAGGGTGAAAACCCACTTTTGGGTCCTTCTTCCTTCAGACGTGCCAGTCACCAGATGACCTGAACCCATTTTCTTGACCTCCAGAACTACATCCACCACCGACCTTCGATTGGTGAGTTTCCCCTTTCTGGAGTCCTAAACCCAATGGTGGTGTCAGGAGGATTTGACCTCTTCGCCCACCTGTGGGGAGGAAAAGACCCCATCAAAGCCTTCAAGTCCATGATGGTCCCCATGGACTCCCTCCTTGGGCAGATTTGACTCTTGGGTTCAAAATTCCTTCCCTTCCTCTTCCCTGGCATAGACCTCATACATCATCTTCAAAGGACTGTTAACTTTCAAGAACACATAACAGAGAGGAAAATCACATCCCACCTAGACCTTCATGATCTCGGTGTCCCTCATAAAGTCTTCTCACCTTTAAGACTCAGCTGCTAGGGATATGCTTACCCTCCCCTTCCATTCTCCTTCTCCGGCCCTGGGAGTCTCCAGCCTCTCCAGGAGGAGTCCCAAAAAGCCTTGGCCAAGGTCTCCCATGGCCCTGGTCCTGTCCAGTATGGAAGCCTCAACTATCAGGATTTGGTGATGACTAATCTCTGCAGCTCGAACCTGCCACTAGGCAGTGCCTGATTTTTGGCTCTAGCGGGGATGCTCCTTTTGACAATAAATCAGCTCCCTCCTATCCCTATATAATGTTTGCAAGATGGCAATACATCCTCTATGCCTGCTGACTCTCCCTTACAATGTCTCTTAGACAACCTCAAGACATTCTCCTTGACACCGGACATCAAACCCCACAAATTGATTAAATATAGCACCTAGGATTGGCCTAATTATCCCCTAGACAACCAAAGCAAATGACCTCCTTTTGGATCTCTGGATCCCTCCATTCTAAGGGGTCTCTACAACTACTCCGAGCATTCGAAAAAATGGATAAACATCCCCTATATCCAAGCTTTCTTCTTGCTCTGATCCAATCCTGCTCTCTGCACCTCTTGAAAACATCTACACATTCTTCTAGCTTGCAAACCAACCCCCCCAACCACTGACCCCCCAACCTTCTCTTCTTCTGGACTCATCCACTACTTTGGACCCTGCTGATGAACCTCCACTCTATTGCCTGGCTCAAATAGGTCCTCACCCTTAACCTTCTGCCCCAGCCCCTCCACCATCACCCCTGCCTCAATAACATGCTTTCTCCCTTCCAATTACTAGATCAAAAACACCACCACCTTTCCCCAAACTGTTGTCCCCTTGTGTGAGGTAACAGGTACTAAAGGAATCCCCCATCCACTCACTCCTCTCTTCTCCTGTCTGTGACAACACCTGGTCCCACCAGGCCCCCTTACTGGCTAACCCAAAGCTCAAATGAGCTGAGGAGGGCCCTCAGACCCCTATCTTATATCTGGTGAAAATAGCCTTTAAAGTTGCTTTGTTATCACTGAAAACAAGGTTACTAAGAATTTAAAGTCCCTTACAGGCTTTTTGGGATGTTCGCTCCTGTACTCCCCACTGGTCTATCTATTCTACTGCTCAAGTTTTCCTTGCTAGGGAAAGTCCCAAACCCCTTTCCCATTATTTTTTTACATCTCCTTCCTCATTCTAAAGTCTACCTGAGCTGCTCTCAGCCCCACCTTCCTGTCTCCCCCCACCCCCAGGCCCACAGAAAAGTCTTAACTGACCTTCTCCAGAAATCTTCACCAAGGCTGATTTTAGGACTATCAGCAAAAGAGTCTCTACAACAAAATTTAATGTAGATAAGCTTCCTCTTTTTGTGTTGCTTGGTTTTACTTGGCCACTTGCCTGGAAAAATCAGAACTCCAGATGCTAGACACCTCCTCCCTAGTTTTTCACAAAAATATGTAAACAAGCCCTCTGGCCTTGAGCTGAGGATTCATAGAGGTGTCTCCATTTCTAAGATAAGAGAAGTTACCTGTTGGGCTCCATGGTAACTGCTGGCAGGGGGAGGAAAGAAAGAGAAAAAAAAGCTCTCCCCTTCTCAGGTGTCCTTGAAGGGTTAAATTGCCCAGAACAGTGAAAAAAAAAAAAACTGCTTTTATGTGATCTTCTGCAGACTGTGAACTTCTGAGTCCCTCCTCTTACATGCTGGGTATAAATTTCCAAAACTACCTGAACTTGGGATTCAGGAGATTGATTGATTGATTGCAGCCGAAGCTGTGACCCTGAGCCTGGCTGCAGCCAGTTAAAATTGTTTCCCCATCTTCAGTGCTATCTGTGGTGCCTTGCCTTGTCCATCCCTACAACATTATAATTCTATATACTTAAACCTGTTTATGTTTTCATGAAATGGTAAACAGATGTGATTAACTGTGTACTGTAAATAACAAAATATTTCTTATTAAAATGGAATAATTTGCCTAAATTCAGAAATTTACACGGATTATGTCAAAATGTGAATAAAGAAGGGGTTACCAGATCAAAAAGAGAAATCAGAAGGTTCTAGGTATGGATTTAATAGAAGGGAAAAAAAGTGTTTCTGGAATAAGAGAGTCTGTGTGATTAAGTAAATAAGAGGGTTTTAGTAGGTGATAAAGAAGGTCTGTGTAAATTGGTTATATACGGAAGATTTTGTGTAAATAATCTTGAAGGAATTAAGGATTATACAACTGTGGCTAAAAAACAACTGTTATTTTGTAATATTGTAATATGTTATTTCTTTAAGAGCTAAACTTGATTAATATAAAAACATCGATGTAATTGTGGTGCTATTGCTCTTCTTTGTATATTAAATGCGTTCATATTTTCCAGGTATATAAGTCTTTAAGGTAGAAGCTTCAAAAGAGAATTATATCAAGCTGGTATTCTCCAAAAGGTTGCATGGTAATTTTAGGCTTATAAGAATAACATATTGGAGATTTGTTTATATCATTTAATGTTCTATAACTGGACCTTTTATCAATAAGATTATATAAGTTCTATACACTGGGGTACAATTTAAATATAATATTATATTGTGTTAGCTAATATTCATGTTACCTCGAGCAGCAGTATATGTAAACTTCATAAAATGATATTTAAAAAACAAAGATCAGCTTCAATACTAGAACACTTTACCTCAGATTTAAAAAGAGCCCCACCTTACCTGAGATAAGGCTTTGCCTCCCATCTTACTACATGTCAGAATGACTCCAAGGTAGGCCAGACTTTAGTTAAAGCCCAGTACTCTTAATTTAAGATGGGTGAGACTGACTTGCTAGATGCTTAAGATCAAGACTTAAAATTAAAATTAAATTAAAAGGGCCAATAAAACCAATATTTGGCTCTTACCCTCTGAATCTGGCTGCAATCAGATAAACAAGGAACTTCTCTAAAGAGCTTTGCAACTCTGGGCCACATAATCTCCCAATCAGGGAGAGTAATGAGAACACCGGAGAATAAAAAGCCAATCAGTGCACTTGCTGTGAATAGGAAGGTCATTGGAGAAAGGAGACATCCCTGATGCTTTTAAGGGAAGCCACATGGTCAAGTAAGTCCTGGACCCATCCTAGTGCAAATGGCACTAGCAGAACTAAGAAGCTGCTCTCAAGTCCCAGATGAGTGACCCTTATGAGAACTCAGCCTACTCTTAACAATAGATAGAAACAAAGTCCATTTTGACCAGCTTGATCTTAAACACCTACCCAAAATAGTTAAACCAAAACACAGTCTTTTGTGGGGGTAATGAAGGACAAGAAAAGCTAGAAAAGAGGAGACAGCAACTAGGCCAACAGTCTCCATGGGGAATGTTCACTCATGTATGACCTTGGCTCCTCCCCCTTGCAGGACCCCTATTAGTTCTCTTTATGTTTCTCCTAATAGGACCATGTTTGTTAAATTGTCTACAGAAGTTCCTGCAAGATCAGATACACAAATTCACCAACCAGTCAGTCATTCAATTACTCCTTCAAGACTACCAATCCCTGATACCCAAGATGAAGACCTATGACTCATGACCAACTCCTCCAGCTCCAGAGACTCTGCCCCCATTTAAAACTCTCCCTGACCCCTTTTCCAATTTTTACAACCCCTCTTTCACTTCCCAGGAATGAGAACTACTCTCTAGCAGGTCCTCTCCACATGTTCTGTCTGCTGTACTGTATCCCCACAAGGAAGCATGAAACCTAAACTTCTCACGCATCAGATGAGGAGCTACCAGCCAGGTGAAGACTGACAGATCGACTTCACTCACATGCCTAGGCACAAAAACTTCTCTACCTACTTACTTTCATTGATACTTTTTCAGGTTGTATAGAAGCCTTCCCTACCTCCAGGGAAAGTGCTGACACTGTCGCCTCCATCCTCATTGAGCAGATCATTCCCAGGTTTGGACTTTCCACCTCCATCCAGTCAGATGATGGTCAAGCCTTCACTTCTCAGGTTGTTCAATTATTCTCCAAAGGCCTCAACATCACCTGGAGGCTCCACATCCCCTACGGACTCCAATCCTAGGGTAAGGTTGAGAGAGCTAACAGCATTCTCAAGGATCACCTCACTAAACTTGCTCTTAAACTCAGGCTCTCCTGGCCCAATCTGCTGACATTGACCCTCACTGGAATTTGGGCAGCCCCTAGAGCTCACTCAGGCCCCTTTGAGCAACTCTATGGGTGCACTTTCTTAACCAACCAAAGCTTTCCAATCACTCCTCCTCCCCTTGTATCCTATTTGCCCTATCACACTTCTACACAAACTCCTAGGGGAACATGCAATCTGGTGCCTTCCTGCGCCACTCATTGTCTAAATTCCAGTGCAACCACAAACTGAATTGGATCCTCTTCAACTGGGTGACTCAGTCTTACTTCAAGAACTGCAACCTCAATTGTTAGAACCTCGCTGGACAGGACCCCATACAGTCATACTTACTACCCCAATGGCAGCCAAGCTTCTGGGTCACTATCCCTGGTACCATGTCTCCCACCTTAAAAAGGCACTTGTTCCAAATGTCCAGTTCTGGACTTCCACCACACCCACCAATCACAAAATTTCTTGCCAATCCTCTTCTTCTTATACTAATCATTAATCTCGCTCAAGCGAGATGTATGTATGTATGTATGTATGTAGATGGCATTTCTACATCCAAGCAATATAGCACCAGGATGGTATCACCCACTCTCAGTTTATGGGTCAAAGCGATTGCCCTTCCACTGGCTGCAATCAGGTCATCACCTTAACATTACTGGGTTCAACCAAACCACCTCTGATATTTCCTAGAGTCCTTACCACAGGACCAATGGCTGATACCAAGGATCTCCACTGCTCAACCTATGGCTTCAAGGAACCTTTATGGACTTTGCCCTTTCCTGGATAACTGTCCATAGCCAGTGTGTGTTATTTCTAGCTGCTCTGGTATTCCCAAGCCTTTCCCCAAACATTCCCCCTCTCTCTCCCAGGTAGGCCCCACACCGCCCCCTCTCAGCAGCAAGTAGCCAGTTTGAATTACACCATCCCCAAGCCACTTAGAAAAACAAAAAGGGAGAAATGTTAGTTGCAGAGCAGGCAGAACAAATGTTAGGTGCAATGTGGGCTGAACACTGGACCCTCACACGTCTGGATTCTTATGACTTGTTTGCCTCAGAATGAACACTCAAGCCCACTCAAGGCTGAACATTCAACCCCCACCAGTCTGGTGCAAAGGAAGCACACATCTGACCCCTGACCTGTCTGCCTGAAGGCAGAAGATGACACCCTTAGCAACTACTGTATGATCCAATCACTGTACGCCAACAAGGCAGCTTGCAGACCCAGAGACCTCATTAGATTTTGGCTATAAAACTCTCTCCTGCCAGGCCTCCCTCTCTTGCTCTCTCTTTCTTCTCTCTTCCTCTTTTTTTCTCTTCCTTCCTTGTTAATCAGACACCACCACAATAAAGATCTCTTTGTTGCTCCAAGTGTTGTGGTCACTTTCCTTTTAGAACTCAGATAGATCTGGTTCTGAGTCCACACCACAGCAATGATATTTGACACACCACTTCTTCAGGTCTCTGTTTACTCATTTATTAGATGGGTATAATAATTTCTCTCCATACATAAGATAATCTTAAATTTAAGAATTGAATAACCTGTAAAGGCAATTATTTTTTGGCTACGTTATTTCTGAAGATAGGATAGAGGAATATGTCTTAACTGGCATATTTAGGAAAGTTATTATCAAAATGTTTCTTAGAAGGTTCAATACTTCCTTGGAACCTGTGACACCATCACAATTTACATTCCTGGAGTGATCTCCCCAGCCATCGAGGAGGAAGGGGGCTGTCTTCTGGTGTTCACATTCACCTATCATATGACAACTTGGGGCAAGGCACTCAACTTTTTAGCTTAGTGTTTCTTATATGTAGCATGGGAGTGAGTAATTCCTGCAGCTGCTGTGGATGAACTGACCAGTCCAAAATGAGAAAATGTAAATAGTGACTCAAGGTTACCAAAACAGGACTGTTATGTCTAGGCTTAGGGGAGGGAACTGGAGAATCCAGCAGGGGTGTCTTCCAGAAGAAGCTCTGCCTAAGTCCCTCCAGGGAGGGCAGTGGAGCTGTACAGCATGGAGGGACACACTGATCTTTCTGCCCCCCCACACACACTTACATGTGGTTTACCTAGCCTGAACTTGAAGAGGACAAGACTATTTCATGCACTCTTCCTGTCAAGTCTCTTTCTCTGAGGGGACTTCCTTAGGGGTTTAGGCTCACTCCTGAAGGAGGTCAGTGATGTCTGACCTTTTATTGTCTTCTTATTGCTTGGCCTGGGGCATCAAGGAAATTGTATGTTCTAAATTGGTCAAAACCAGTTTGGGAGATAGTTTCTGTGCCCGTCCTGATTCTGATAAGGTTCTGGAGAACAATAGCAGAAGAGAGCACAAGAAAGGCAATCAGCTGAGAGGAATTCTGGACTTTCAAAACATTATTAAGTGTATAGTGAGCCCTCCATATCCATGAACCCAACCACCATGGGTCAGAATTGCCAGTTCTGCTGACATGTACCTTGCAGTTAGGTTTACAGTGACCAAGTTTGTATTGAACACGTACAGACTTTTTTTCTTGTCATTATTCCCTACAGAATATAATGTAACTGCTATTTACAGAGCATTTGCTTTGCAGGAGGTATTATAAGTAGTTTGGAAATGATTTAAAGTATACAGAAAGATGTGAATTTGTTACATAAAAATACTTTGCCATTTTATATAAAGGCCTTGAGCATCCTTGGATTTGGGTGTCCATGGAGGGGCCTAGAACCAATATCCCATGGATGCTAAGAGATGAGCAAATGTGGCACTGGTCCTGTAAGGAGTGATCATTTTATTCATGAAGTTTTTTTTGGGGGGGGGAGTGCTGGATATTGAACCCCAAGAAACATTACTACTGAGTTAATCCCCATTCTTTTTAAAAAAATTTTTGAGACACAGTCTTAATAAGTAGCTGAGGCTGGTCTTGAATTTGCAATCCTCCTGCCTCAACCTCCCAAGTTGCTGGGATTGTAGGGGTACACCTGCCTGACTCTTATTCATAGTTTAAAGCTTCTCCTGTTGTCAACATCCTCATACCCCACCGGTTACTAATTCTTATTCATGATTAAGTGATCCTAGGAGATTATTTCCTATGTGATTTACAAGAGTTCACAAGTCATTTCAAGGTTTCAGATATAAGTTAGTTAAGTTTTAAAAGACAGCTTAATGAGATCTACTTTAGAAAAAGTCAAGACATTGGTACATTGGTTTAGGGCAGGATTAATCTTTGTGAGATATTCCAGCTGCCAACAATGCTATGAGTCACATATTCTCAGAATTGGCAGAATTCCATCACCTGACCTGAAGGCTACCTGTGCGAGGCAGGCCACCTGGTCTCACAGGTGAGGAGAATCAGATCATCCATATGGACTATGCCTTTAGAAAGCAGACTTTCTCAACCTTGGCACTAGGGACGTGAGGTGACTTAGTGTTCTTCCTAGGACTTCAGAAAAACTTTATTTTATTTGACCCAAATGGTAGTTGTAGTTTTTCCTCTCACTATGTTTTCTTTTGTGCATACTTTGGAGGGACATTGTCTCATTGACTGTAGGAGATTCAATTTCAATTGCCAGGTTGTCCTGGAAATGCATGTAGATTACTGGTGAGCTTAGCAGGCAGTCAAGAAGATTCCCACCTTAAAGATTCCCTACATTAAAGTGATGAGATTGGTTTGAATCCTGTAGAGTGTTCAACTGGATTATAAAAGCTTTGGGATGGTACTTGAGGGGGAAGGACTGAGGAAGTGGGAAGAAACCACATGAGCCTGGTTTGAGGCACTGGGCGGACTGACTTCTTTTTTTCCTATTTTTTGCTTTCATTTGAAACTTCAAGAAAAAGCACTTTTCCCCAAGTGCTTTGAGTATCGTGCAACCATCCAGATGACTTTGCTGGTGTCACTCTCATGATTTCCTGGCATGAATAATAATCATTCACAGCTTGCTTAAAACTGTCCCTCCCTGTTCTCTTTCTCTTTTTGTTCTGCTTTTAAAAATATTTAAGTATTTATTTATTTATTGAATGTTGTTCTTTTATGTACAGACTTCTAGGTTTGAATCTCTAGTAAGGAAAAGAGCATCTTCACTAAACAGGGAGATAAGAGGATAAGAAGGAGATCCTGGGGGGACAGGCACAGTGACACAGGCCGGTCATCCCAGCAACTCTGAGGCTTGGCCAGGAGGATCTCAAGTTCAATGCCAGCCTCAGCAACTTGGCAAGACCTGTCTCAAAATAAGAAATAAAAGGGCCAGGGATGTGGGACTCAGTGGTAAAGTGCTCCTGGATTCAATCCCTAGTACCCCGGGGAGAGGGGAAGGAGAGAGACCTTGGCCTGCATTCTTCTTTCCTTCTTCAGCCACCACACTATGAGTTTGTTTTCCAGTCTTTTCCTCCTGCTCCCAAGCCAGCAACTTTATCCTCCAAGGAAACACCTTTAATTTTGTCCTAATAGGGTTTCCACAGTGTGAAGTTGAATCTGGCAGGGCTTTGTGTTCTTTGGGAGGTCAGGGGCTTCATGTATTAGGAGTGAGAAAACATTTTATATTTTGAAGACAAAATCACCTAATTTTTAAGTGACATTAAGTTCTATGAAGTTTTTCTCTGCAGCTGTCCCTTCATCTCTGCCACAACTGCTGCTATTTCAGCAGGTTGGTTTGGTAGAAGTGTCCTTATGGTAGGAGGTCTTCTAGTCTTCTGTAGCATGTTTCACTGTGGGACAGAGGTCTCCCAATAGAGGACATCCAGGGAAGTTCATGCACAGAGACAGGGCGCTTGGGATGCATCCTGAAGTCTTGGCTCCATGCTCCATATTTGTAAGATTCACAGTATTCAATTAAAACAAACAATTTATAGTTAGCAATACTTTTTATTTACAAAGGCAAAAAATTAATATAGAAAAAGAGCCTCAAGACATCCTGATTTGAAGGGTTTCTACCTCTTATGCACCCCACAACAGCTTTATGAGAGGAAGTAACTTTCCCAAGGTCAAATGGAGATAGGGTAGAGCTTAAAGGGTCCCCTTGGGGATGATATTATTCTGTCAAGAAAACATGGGGACACCAATATTATTTCAGGTTATTATGATATATTTGACATCCTTTGTATCTATTAGGTTTTTATCACTTAAAAAAAAGTCTTAATACATGGGGTCTTCAAGGGGGTATGGAAAAATATTAGCTGTAACCGTAGTGTGTGGCCCTCCAGAGGCACAGTTTATAAGCAGATATTACAATATTGGAATTTCATGAGAAGGATGATTAAAGGAAAAAGATCTCCTTAAGAAGCCAATGATACCAAAAATGGTGGGTAAATGTGTGTCAACCACATTTCTGAGGCAGCCGTCTCTCATACAGAACTCATGATTTCAAACATTTAGAATGTGCATCATGAATCTCCCGCTGCAGATTAAGAAGCTGGCATCTGAAGTTCTCAGCATGGCTCCCTCAGGAGTGTTAGCACTATAACTCTCCTACAAATAGATAGTAACCAGGTGTCAGGCTTTGATTTAGTTCTTTAATGAGAGAAGCAGCAGGGAGACAAAAGCGCAGGTTCAGAGAGCGTTTGAAGGCAAGGGATCCGTGTTGTCCTTTGGGGCATGGTGTCCCTTTGGATTGTCTGGTTAGATATGGGACTTTAACTTGCTACCATGCAGGAAAACCATGTTGGCATTGGGGTTTGCTTTTCTACTGGGCCAAAAGCCAAAGCAATGAATTAATTTCTGCAGGCTAACTACTAACCGTACAGGGCTAAAAATTACTTGCAATTTTCTTGTGGATTATTTGTGATAATTCCCTTCACAGGAGTCGGGGGGTTAGGCCAGCTTATTGGGAAATGTTTCACATGCAACAGAACATGAAGCAGCTACCACTTGGCCTTCCACAGGAGTAGTGAAGAGTTTTTCTTAACATGAGTGTGGATTTATGATTACTGTTCTTCTGATTATTGCTGATTAATCACCTCTGCTGGGTGGATTCCTGATCAGGCAAGTTCAGATGATAACTGCTCTTTCATATTGGCAATAATTTATACACACAAGGCATTGTTCTAAATAAGTGGTTTACAACATAATTACACTTAATTTATACCATATGAGGTGTATGCATTTGTCAGGATTCTCCAGAGACACAGAACCAATAGGATGTGTGTATCTTTGGGTTCTGTATCCTTAGATATAATCAACTGCGGATTAAAAATATTCTGTATGGAACATGTATAGAATTTCCTTGTCACTATTCCCTAATCAGTACATCACAACAGCTGTTCACACAGCACTTACATTACATTGGACATCATAAAAAATATAGATTTAAAGTATATGGAAAAATTTGCATGGATTAAAAATCTGGACACCCTAGGGAGAAGGGAAGGATAAAGTTAGAATTATAAATAATTTGCAGGAATGTCCATGTTTATTGCCAACTAAAAAGAAGGAAGTTAAAGTAATGTGTAAATAGACTCATTCCATTTGTTCACCAACAATAAATCCCCCGCATTCTAATAAACCATTTGTATAAGCAAGGAGAAAGGTGTGTGAGCTACTCAATTAACAGTGACAGCCTGGGGGTGTGGTACTGGTAAGAGAGCCAGGTAAACAGGGTGGGGAGAAATATGTTTAGCTATGTTTATACAATCTTCATTTTTTATTAAAGATGACTAACTTTACAATTTGAAAAGACAAACTTAATAATAAGCAGAGTAGCAATTATGTAAAAAAAAACAAGCTTAGAGGAGAGTTACAAATATTTAAAGAATAGTAATGACAAAAGATTTTCTAATTCTTTTTAACTCTTTGGATTCTTCTATTCCATTTCATTCCTGAGGCTCTCTAATAGCCAATGAATTTTTAAACTCGATCCTTTGTCATTACATAGCCATAACTGAGAAAGGAGAACCAAAATGTGAATTATTGGCAGTTTTGACATATTGTCCTATGCTATAATGAAGCCTGAAACCAAAAAGACATGCAAATATATTTTTCTAAAATAAAGTGTAAAGAATGAAAGGGCATATTGGATCCCAAGAAAAATGAATTCAAATAAAAAATTAGAAATATTTTGGTATATTTACTTCAAGGATAAAGAGTCCTTTGAGATCACTCCTTCACGTCTAACAAACCAAAACCAAAAGAACAGCAAAACAACACAACTGTTTACTCATGATCTTTTAAAAAAATAATAACTCCTGTGCATGAACAGATGAAAAAAAAAAAAAAAAGAAACAAATTGCTTAAGGTATCAGAACTTTGTCACATTCAGAGTCTCTTCTCTGTGAGTCACTTTTTGACTCAGAGGCATTGGTGTTTTCTCACACAATGTGTTCTTTGGAATATTAAGAGCATCAGTGATGAGCATGTCATTAAAGGAAAGCACCATCATCTCTGACATTTTCTGAGACCCAGTTAGCAAGTTCGATGTTGACATCTCTCTGGTCAATGGAAATATGAATGAAGTTGTTTAGATCTGAACAAGAACTTATTTTTCTTCTTGATTAGTCCTTATATGGCTTTTTTTGAATGAAGATTGCTTTCCAGTCTTGTCACCAGGAATATTACTAAATTTGCACATGAATAGACCTACCATTATGTCCTGTAACAAGTTGACTCCTTGAAGGAAGAATAGATATCATGTACTCTGTAGTATCATATTATTCTTGTAAAATACTTACCATCCTTCTCTTTGATAGGATAATTCCTCTATGGTCACAGACATTATATTTCCCATAGGAAATCTTCTGGGTAATAGAATATAGGGCAAATGAATGGTGTCACTTCCACTAGCAGAAATTTTAAGAACCATCATGTTATCCCTACCTTTCTTTTCCCTCTCTAATACCAGCATGCCTCACACAAAGGCTGCTTCTTTAGCCTGCATCCTGGAAATTAAGAAAATATAGATTAAGCCAAAGTTGACCATTACAAACATAATATGAGTGAAAGATAAATTTAGCTACAACTTTTTGTGATTGTTTGTTACTGCAGTATAACTTAACTTAAACTGATTGATACAACTCTCCAAGATTACAGAATTTAAATCCTTATTCTGGTATGGTCTACATGCTTTTCTGAAGAACTTTGGATTTAGGTAGGACCTCTGGATGGTAGCCAATCAGTAGGTGTTTGCTGATCAGCCTTCCTTTTGGGTGAAATTCAAGTTCAAATTATTTCAGGGAAGTTAGGGTGAATGCAGAGTGATGTCACCTGAGATGTGTTTAAAACAAGTCACTCTGGGGCCATTTAATCTAAGAAGATATGGCTGAGTCACAGCCGTGTTGTTGAGAGCTACTGTTTAAACCTGTATTGTCATGAAATGCCTTAAAAATGTAAGGTTAGAAGACACTGTTGAGAGTGGAGATGATACCTCAGTTGGAGACATCATAGTAGGTCACAGTGTGGAGAAGGTGTGTTGGGGAAGGAAGGGAAGTAGGGAGATGTTATAGCTCTGGAAGGTTCACTCTTAATTTTTCTTCTTTCCTTGCAATTAAACTTGATTCCATGATTAAATTTATTAATCCGTAGACAATAGCTCAACATCTTCACTCAGAGTTCCAATGGGGAAGTGGTGGAATTCAAAATGTGTCAGGGATCCAACTGCAGTTCAGTGTTGGTGGATTCAACAATTTGCAGCAGCCCTTCACAAAGTACAGGTTGTAGTTTCCTCCTGGGATGACCTCACCAGGCTCCTTGACAGTAATGCTGGTGGAAAGTAGAATGAAACTGTTAGTTGAGCCTTGTACAGCAGAAACAATGGGTGAGCAGAAGGTGACACATTAAAAATGTCACAGGAATGTGGCACTGTGGTGCACCCTTCTTGCATTCCAGAAACTCAGGAGGAATAAGTTTAAAGCCAGCTTCAGCAACTTAGTGGGACTCTCAACAGCTTAGTGAGACCCTGTCTCAAAATAAAAAATAGAAAGGGCTGGGGATATAGCTCAGTGCTAAGGCACCCCTGGTACCCGCAAACCACCCACCCACCCCCCACCCCCGCAAAAAAAAAAAAAAAAAAAAAAAGCAAGGCACAGGGCAGAAAGCTGATTTTTTCCCCCTCACATTCTGGTTAGGGTGAGTTAAAGACAGTTACAGACAGGCATGGGGGAATTAATTTTGGCTCTCAAATTCTGTGTGACTTCAAGGATTTTTCCTATTTACCAGAAGAAGCAGAGATAGAATCAATCTTTGTAATGCACCTGCACATAAAAGAGAGCTGCTGGGATGGTGGGGATACTGATTTTGTGAGAAGAAACCATAGAAGGTGGAGATGGCTGCATGGGTCCCTGGTGTCCTCTTATCCACTATAGTCTATTACCATGTTGTCAGATGGATAGTCTTGATCCCCTTGGAAGGGAGGCAGTAGCAGGTGGAGCATGGGCTTTTTGGGTAGATGGGCATGAATTATCTTGGTTGTGCTGGCCTAATTTTCCTTGAGTGGACATAACCTCCCTAAGCCTCTGCTATATCAAATGCAAAAAAAAAAAAAAAGTGATAGTGCTCAACATACAGTGATTGCAAGTTGTAAGTGACAAAATTCATATGAAGTGACAGATGTATAGCTGGGTACATATTAAATACTTGAGCAGTACTACTGAGAATTTTAGTTCCTAGAAAAGTCAAAGTGAAACATTGATGTAATTGATGTTCAGTCTTATGTTAAAATAAGAGTTATAAAAGTAAGTGGACAAAGTCTTAAGATTGGATTTGACTATTAATAAGCAAGTATAGAGAAGTTATAATCAAGAGTACAACACCTAAGGAGACTAGCACAGGAGTGGAAGGGAGGAGGAAAGGGGAAGGGAAGATATTGGGAGTGAAATCGACCAGATTATATTGTTATAATGTGTGTGTGTACAAATATGTAACAATGAATTCTACTCATGTATAATTGCAGTGTACCTATAACAATATAAAAATAAAAGAAAAATAGTTTCATTAAAAACAAAAATTGCAATACCTGCTCAACAGACTTTGGCAACAAGACACCACTGTGGTTGCATTGCCAGGTAAACTGGAGCTGAAGGCATTCTCTAAAACGTGATGGCAGTTGATGTCCTCGGGGGTGCCAGAGAGTATGCCTAGAAGTGGAACAGAGTGCCATTTATTTTCATAATTAGTGAAGTCACCGAACGCTCCTTCTGTTCTAAGCTTCTCCCCAGCCGCCTCCACACCACACATTTAAATTTACAATATGCTTAATGGCAGCTCTGACTCTTAGCTTTCTGCAGCAGCATATGCTGCATATAAGGATTGGAGACCTTGCTTTCCTGAAGGCTGCCTTCCGTGGGCACCCAGGAAACAAAGGATGGGATGTAGTACCTGCGACACAGGCTGTCATGAAGCAAGCAACGGTCCCTGAGATCAGAGATCTTACTGCTCCAGCGACGACGTCCCGCTTTCTGCTAGGAGCTAGAGAGGCTGGGAGACATGAAAGGAGCTGTTTGAGATTAATGCTGATTCTACTGGTTAGAAATCCAAATTTGTAGCCTCTAAAAAGTGTTCTGATATTGGAGTTTCAGGTCAGTTGGAAAGAAACAAGTCCTTAGTTTTATCCAAAGGGCTCAGAGAGCATGGAGAGCATGGCAAATCAAAGGGGATGCACGGAGGGATCGATTGATGAGATGGTGTGACATGGTGACTCAGAACTGTGACCGACTATTTCCATGCCTGTGGGAGACATCACTCATAAATCACAGCATTTTCCCACCAATCTTTGATTGGTCCCCAGAATCCTTCTCCAGGGAGGTATTATAAATCCAAACATAATGGTACACGCCTGTAATCCTAGCTACTCAGGAGGCTGATGCAGGAGGATAACAACTTTGAGACCATCCTGGACAACTTAGCAAGGTTCTGTCTCTAAGCAAAAAAATTAAAGGGCTGGGGGTATGGCTCAGTGGTAGAGTAACTCTGGGTTCAATCCACCACAAAATAAAAATCAATCAGTCAATTTACTGGTGTTAGTATACAAGTGAAACTTCTGTGTTGCTTTGGGTTGGGAGAAGCATCTGCAAGTTTGAGGATATTGTTTCTGAGGTTAGTTTGGGTGTACAGAGGAAATCTATCTTGTAGAATGGGGATAAAAAATAGACCCCAGAGGATTTTCTACTATCGACAGTAACTTTTCTCCTGACATGAATAAGATGTGAGATGGAGTTCCAAAGTATGTTTATGTTACATCTGTTGTAGAAGAATATCTTTTCACTTACTGAGTCCACCGATCACTATTCCTAGGGAACCAATGTTGGCAAACCCACAGAGGGCATAAGTGGCAATTGTCTCAGAACGAATCTGCAAGCAAGCATAAACACCAATGGATCCATGATCTGACCCATCCTAAGAAACCTGACATCCCAACTTGGCTTTGTATTTTGACTACAGAATTGATATTAACAAATAAATGCACAGCATATAGTGGCAAATACCCATTGTTTCCAGGGCAGTTTTTACCATCTCCCCTTGAATTTTGAGAGAGGGTGAAGAGGGGCTGTGTAGATTCAAGAAATGCTCTACAATGGACTTCGAATTGGTGGCCTTGGTTCTAAAAATGCTACTTCCTGCTCATTGGTAATTTCTAATATTCCATTGGACCTGGCCCACCTGCTACAATGTGCCAGGTGTAGTACTAGTTGGTGGAGATACAAAATTGGTCCCAGAAAATATTCACATTACATTTATTTGATAAAGAACTTATTCAAAATATATAAAGAACTGCTATTACTTGATAAGAAGACAAATACCTAAGGAAAAATGGGTGGAGAGATTTGGATACTTCACAAAAGATACAAATGAACAAGAAGCTCATGAAAAGGTGCTCAACATCATTAGCCACCAGGGAAATGCAAATGAAAAACAATGAGATACCACTATACATTTACTAAAATGGCTAAAGTTTAAAAAGACAGACAACACAAAATATGGCAAAATTACAATGCAACGGAAACTCGTGTATTGCTGGTAGGAACGCAAAAGGACACAGCCATGCTGTTTTATGGCAGATTCTCATCAAGTTAATACACGCTGCCTGTATAAACCAGAAATTTTCCTAAGAGAATTATAAAAACACATGACCCCCAAAATACTGTACATGAATATTTATAACAGCTTTACTCTTAATAGCCCCACACTTAAAACAACTCAAATGTCCTTCAGTAGGAAAATGGACACAGTATGAATATCTATAAAATAAAATGCTGCTCTGCAAGAAAAAGAAAATGGAAGTAATATATACAACAACATGAATGCTGAATGCTTATTGAAAGCCAAAAGTAATCGACAGTGAAAGAAAGATCATTGGTTGCCTGGGACTAGGTTACTTCACGGGGGGTTGTTGACTACAAAGGGCCTAGAGGAAAATTAAGAAATAATATTAGTAAAAAAGAAATTCTCATATATCAGAGGGGCTGCCGTCTAGTCTGGCCACAGTGTGTGCTTCCCTTTCTTTCCCAGTTCTGGCCATATCACGGACATGTTTGGATGCCCATTTGGAAGCAAGAGAAGGAAGAAAGGTACCTACATCATTGGGACAATAATTTTTTTCCAATATCCTAAAACATCTATGATTTGGTTCAAAGAACAAACCAAACATGCTACATTCACTAATAATACTTTATTTTTTTCTTGTGCTAACTGGATTTTTAAAAGCTCACGCTTAAGATTGAAGTGCTTGTGGTAAGTTTTTGTTGACTGGAAGGCCCCTCTTCTCTCTCATAGTTTCTGAGAACTTCTTTGTTATTTTCAAACAGTGTGCAAATAGCAGGGGGGAAAAATAATATTGAGTATTTGCACAGTCTACTGTTCCTGGAAAAGCTCATCCTCGTCCCCTGCTCTTTCTAGTGCTTTTCATTTAATTCAATTGGCTTCAACAGAGCCATGCTTATTAAGAGACTGTGAGGAGGGACATGGCATGAAGGACGTATGACTCTTCTTTTCCCTGTCTGGGGATTGTGGGGCAAAGGGATACATAGATGTGGCCAAGTATGGTTTTATAAGAAGAGGACAGGGATGTTGGGATGATTCAATTTGGCCTTTGTCCACCTACATGAAAGATTACATAATGGAAAAGGATGTACTGCACTACAAAATTCACGCTACAGCTCTTCTTGAGTGCAAGCAAAGATGCTACACATACAAGGACAGCCACCATGGCACTACTTCTAATAGCAAATTGCTAAGTGTTCATCAGCAAGGGCCTGATTAAATGAATTACAGTGTCTATGCAATAGAATACTGTCATAGGCACTGATATAGAAAGTTTTCCAAGATATGCTACTGAGCTCAAAAAGCAAGGTTAAGAACAGTGAGCACATTATGCTCAAGGGAGAAGAACTGGGTGGTAGAGAACTAGGGATTGTGCCTTTAACCTCTACAACTTTTTGGAGATTTTAAATTCTAAATGATGTTATATACTAAGATGTAAACAAACATGCAAAGTATTATCTTTAAGAAAGAGAAAATGATGGAGCAATAAATGTCTCCTTCTCTGTGTGTGGGTGCCACATCCATATGTTGACTTCTTACCTTAGATGGAGGTTGGCAGTGGGTGTGATTCAATGGATATAACTGGGGATTTGAACATAGCATGCTTCAGTCACATGTCATATTTTCTAGAATGTTGTTGGAACATACTTCACCCCTTGTTGGTTGGTAAGCAAAAATTGCTGGGGCTCTTCTCCATTGCTGATTTATAATCAGAAATCTGGAGTAACAAAATGCTGCTCCCATCATGACAGCAATGAATGACAGAGGCCACTGAGCTCACATCTCACTATGTGCTCTGTGTGCCTGCCTTTGTCTGGGCTCACCCCCAAACCCAAATCAGTGCTACAGTTCTGTCTCCATTTTCTTAACAGCCTTTTCACAAAGCTGCTTAGCATTGCCAGAACTGGCAGCTCACTTTTCTCATTAGCAAAACTATTTTCTGCTTGCAACTGACAGTTGGGGATAGGAAACATTTCACTTAATTTAGCTTATTGTTTACTTTTGGCAGGAAAACCAATGGTCTAGGTGGCATCCAAATAATGAGAGTAAATGGTCAAGTTTCACTGTGAGGCTCATTGAAGAAAGAACATGTGAGAAACAAAGCCCCTGTCCTATCAGATGTGTGGGTCAAAATGCCCCTGATTTCGAAGTGTAATCAGTGGTCCTGGAGTAGGCTGTTGCTAACTTGTGTAACATGTGGGACACAATTCAATTAGTATGACTGGTCTTTGGGCAGCTGGAAGGGGTGGTGTTGGTGTTGGGGGTGAACAGTATCAATACTTGGGCAGCCTGCTTTCCCTCCTTTGCCTTTTAAAACCCAATATGAACCTGGGACATTAACCACAAGTAGGTTATAGAAATGGTGGTGGTCAAAAATATTCACTATTGCCTGAATGGAAATAGTTTAGTTTCCACTATGACAATTCTATTGTTTGGGGGGTAAGAAGTTGGAGATTCAGCTACAAATACAGCCTCATCCAATTTCCTCATTCCACCAAAGTCCAGGCAGACATTAGCATCTCTTTGTAGGCTGTTGCTCTGAAGTTGACATGATTATGAGGCATTTAAATCAAGGTTTTCAGATCATAGACCTGAGTTTTTTCTTCCCTGTCATCCCCCTGGATGGTAATAATGCATCTTACCATCTCTTGATGGTGGCCAGGCACCATTTTGCATTTAGGCAGTTTCTCAGAGCTCATAAAATTCCTTCCCCTGGAAGGAAGAGGGCTTTGTGATCATTAGACTATGGGCTCCATGAGGGTAGGACCTGTTATAATTTGAATCATGAATGACCCCCAAAGTTCCATATGTTAAAGGTTTTGGTCCCCAGTTGATGGTGCCATTGGGAGATGGTAGAGCCTTTAAGAGGTGGGGTTTTGTGGAAGGAATCTAGGTCATTGGGGGCATGTCTTTGAAGGAGAAATTGGGACCTAACCCCCACCTCTTCCTCTCTTTTTGCTTCTTGGCTCCCATGAGGTGAACAGATCTCCAAAGCAATATACTTTTGTCATGATATACTCAGGCCCCAAAGCAATGAGACCAACAGACTATGGATTAAAACCTCTGAAATCATAAGCCAATATAAAACTTTCCTCCTCAGAAGTTAATCATCTCAGGTATTTTTCCACAATGATGCAAAACTAACAGAACAGTGACTTGTTCGGTACTTGGTCTTGGTATGGAACATATTACACATAGAAGGCATTCAATAAATACTTTTGACTGATTGGTTTCAGTCTCAGCTCATGTGTCTATAGGTTTGTGTCTACAGTCTTCAAAAGTAAACTATCACTGATATGGATGAGTGTTTCTCTCTCCCTGCTACATAAACACACACACATGATTAATTCAATACAGTTGAAAATAATGAAGTGCCATGTACATTATGAACTCCACAAGATTAAGGATTTTTGATTTGTTTTGTTCTCTGGTATAACTCAAGTGCCTGGCATAGTGTCTGATACACAAAGGCACAAGTCACTAGATGACATATGAATTTAGGTGAAGAAGTACACGGAAAAATCAGAGAATTTACTCACTGACATATATTGCTGAGTGCCATTCACAAATTTAGGTCCAGCCTGTTTCCTCAAATTGATCAATTGTGAGAGTTGCTCATAAGCCACAAATTCATTGAAGAATGTCTTATAACCTATGAGTCTGCCAACCATAAAGCTGTCTTGCCAGTCTACTCCCATCATGAAGGAAAAGGGCATGAAGATGTAGGAGCATATTAGCTGCAAAAACCAGAATATATTTGGTTAGAACAGGCATTTGCTTCTAGTTCTTTTGCCTCATTCTCTCAACAAGATTGTTCCTGAATCCTCTATCTCTTTTAGACACAAGATATCACCTCATATTCTGTTTCCCATCATTATATATCAGGAGTTGTTATGGTTTAAATATGGGTTCATCCTTACCAATACTCCTGTTGAGGTTTGGTCCTCAGTGTAATGCTGCTGAGAGATGGTGGAGCCCATCAGATGAATTAATATCTTTCCCAAGAGAGACTGGATTAGTTTTTTCTGGTATATAGTAGTACTCTAGAGAGTATGTTGTTATAAAGTGGGTGAGCTCTTTTGTCTCTCCTCTCCCTCTCTGCACATGCCCATTTGCCCTTTCTATGTTTCTACTATACAGGGTACAAACAATAGCCCTCACTAGAAGTTGGACAGATGCAGCCACTTGACCTTGGATTTCTAGCCTTCAGAACGGTGAGATAAAATATACTCTTTTCTTTATAAATTACCCAGACAGGCATCTGTTATTGTAACAGAAAGCAGACTAAGACAGGAGTCAAGGCTGGAATTGGGTCCTTTGAAGCAACCTGGAATATTGGGGGTGGAGTCAGGAGCAAATGACTGTCTGGAGGAAGGAGGGTAGTGGGAGAGAGTGAGTTTGGGAAGATGGGGGAAGCCCTCTGAGGAGCTTCTGCAGTTTGTGAGAGTACATCCTGGGTAGTTTGGGAAGGCTGTACACAAACTTAAACAAGGATAGAAACAAAACAGAAAGCAGAAGCATGATGGAATTATACCTCGAAACTCAGCTGTGGGTAATCAAACATGTTTCCAAACCAGGACAGGGCTGAATTCACAAAAGATAACAGGGCCAAGAAGGCAATCAGATTCACAGTGATGTTTGCCACCAGAGGGATAGATGAGGATGCTCCCTGTGTTGCAGCTTCTAGGAGATTCCTTGAATCACTTTATAAAAAGATAGCAATTCCAGAGTTACCACAGATGCAGAAATGGCAGAAACAGACCTCATTTGAGTGAGAGGCAAACATTTAGATCTCTACCTTGGTCAAAATATTCATCTGAATCCCATGAAATCATGATGTTGAATATAGGTGGTGAGCATATTGCATCTAACCATTATCCTTTTTAATATTGTTTTTTCATGATGCTGGAGATTGAACTCAGGGCCTCACACATGCTAAACACTTGTGCAATCATTGAGCTACACCTCCAGCCTCAATATTGCTTTTTAAATTTGGGGCATTTATAATAAAAATTGGAAAATGATTAAAAAGTAGAGGTTTAGAATTTTTAATTGAAAGTAGCTATCAGACAATATTTATAAAATATTCATGGTATAAAGAGTCATAATCTTAGAAGGCCTGTATAGCTGTCACCTCATTTAAGAAATGGAATGTCCCATCACCTTTTGTTATGGTTTGGATCCAAGATGTGGCCTGAAAAGCTCATGTGTTAATGCTGGAATGTTCAGAGGTGAAGCGATTAGATTATGAGAGTTGTAACCTCATCAGTGGTTTAATCCATTTGATGGATTAATAAGTTGAATGGACTACTGGGTGGTCACTGTAGGTGGGTTGGTAGTATCTGGAGGAAGTAGGTTGCTGGAGGCATACCCTTGGGGAAAATAGGTTGTCACTAGTGTCTCTATTTCCTGGATGCCATGAGCTGAATGTTTTTCCTCCACCAGCCCTTCTGCCATGATGTTCTGCCCCAACTTGGGTCCAGAGCAATAGAGTCTGCTGACCATGGACTAAGTGTCTGAAACCATGAACCCAAAATAATGCTTTCCTTCTCTAAGTTGCTCTTGTCAGGTACTTTGGTATGCCTATGAATTCCTCAGTGTGTAATCTTATCCCCTCCCTACTCTTCTAATCTCAGAGGTTCCCGCCTCCCTCAATATTGTTTATCATTCCCTTTCTTTACAATTTTCCCACTTGCTTTATCTCTAAATGATACATCCTACAGATATGCATGCTTGCTAACTTCATAAGTGAAATCATTCTACAGGTTGAATATCTCTTATCCAAAATGTTTGGGACCAAATGTGTTTTGGATTTTGGAATATTTGCATATACATAATGAGATACCTTGGGGATAAGACCCAAGTCTAAATAAAAAATTAATTTATGTTTCACATATACCTTATACACATGGACTTAAAGTTTTTATGTTATATTTTAAACAATTTTGTGCATGAGACAAAGTTCAATGGTATGGAATTTTTCCCTTTAGTGTCAAAAGTTTTAGATTTTGGATTTTATAATTTTTGATTAGGAATGCTTAACCTTTACTGTATTCTTCAGTAACTTTGCTTTTCCACTCACGATATGACCTGATTTCCCTACAAATAAGGGATGACTCTTAGACACATCATGGTCTATGAATCATTGTTTAATGAAATACTTTTGAACATTTAAAATCTTATAGTTTTTCCCACCCCTTTTTCTTTCTTTTTCACAGGAAAAAAGAAGATGAACTTTCTTGTTATATAAAGCAACTCCAGAAATGCTCATCCTATGGCTTTCTAACACCTTTAAACAAAAGCTCAATGAACACTATGCTGTATTTACAATAAGATATATTTATGATGAACAGTTAAAGAAACGTATTGAAATTCAGGTATTTAGAAAGGTTTTCCTGAAGTGTTGAGAAAGATGTTTTTTGGTAAAGTCTAATTACAAGAAATTAAATCTACTTTAATATCATAATCCACTCTGTGCTTTCTCTCTATCAAATTTTTGCTGTTTTGAATTTGGACTTTCATGCTCCAACTTGTGTAGTCATTGTTATGGTTTGGATCTGGAATGTCCCCAAAGGCTCATGAGTTGGAAGCATAATCCCTAATACAATAAGGTGTTTGCTGGATTGCACCATTGATAGCTGAATGGACCACAGGAAGGTGGGACCTAGTTGGAAGAAATAGGTCACTGGGGGTGTGCCCCAGAAAGACTTATCTAGTCCTGAGCCCTTCCTCTCTTCTCTATTTTCCCTACTGTCATGAGCTGAGCAGCTTTCTTCCACTATGCCCTTCCGCCATGATGTTTCTGCCTTGGAGTCAGCTGACCATGGACTGAATCTTCTGAAACTGTGAGCCAAAATAAACTTTTCCTCTTCTAAGTTGTTCTTGTCAGGTATTTTGATGATAGCAAATGAAAAACTGACTAACGCAGTCATTGATTAGGTAACATGTCCCACTTACCCATTTTCCATTTTCATGGCATTCTTGAGGGTTACTTTAGGTTTTTCTGTCTCAGGCCAAAAGAGTTTAGCAACAGCCAATGATGCAGGTGCTGACATAACTGATGCTGTTAATAAGTGGGTGGATGAAACCTGCAATTTCAGAAGAAAGCAAGCAAACAAGCTGAGCTTTATTCTTGTATTCAGAAAAGTGACTCAAAAGCCTTATAGGGAAGAGATGGAACAGGAGTCAATTCTATGCCAAAAAGCAATGCTTCTTTGGAGGTTTGGAAGAGCAACTTTTGTCCATGAGCCAAGCCATGACATCACCCTGAGAGTCAGAGGGACAAAGAAGAGATTCAAGTTAATTGGCCACATTCTTGAAGGAAAAGCACAAAGCCCAAATCTGATCATTTCAGAAGATAAGTAATAGTGAATTTTAAGAACTCTCAAAGAAGACTCCTTAGCCTCTATGTTATCTTTTTAAATGACATATAGTCCCTATAGCCTATATTTCATTTCATCATCAATTTAGATGGGTTATCTGGGGTGGACTGGCATGGAGACAGGATTCCTAATCTATGTAAAGGCATGATATTTCCCCTCTCCACCTTCCTTTTGCTCTCCTGGAATCCTTTGTGTCTTTACACAATATGCTTTTATCCAGAGTCCCTTTGATTCTGTAAATTATTTCTGTTTTCCTTGTGACAAGTTTACTCTTTCTCCTTCCCACTCCACATACTTGACATTGCTTCTGGATTCTCTTCCCTACATTTTGAGAATCCCATATCCAGTGTCTCCCTCTGCATTCCTATAACACCTATCCCATTATTTTCAAGTTAAAGATGGAGTTTCATTTTTAAAAGTTTTTTGTGCATTAAATTTTTACATAAAAGTGGGATTCATTGTGATATGTTTGCACATGCACATAACATGATGATCAGTCTCATTCCCCAAAACCTCTCCTTTCCCTCCATTTCTTCCTCCCCCTGATCCTCTTCCTCCCCCATCCCCTCCATCTACTCTACAGGTCTTCCTTCTATTGTTATTATTTTTAAATTAGTGCACTATAATCATACATAAAGTGGGTTTCATTGTGGTACTTGTAGATGGACATGACATAATTTGACATCATTCCCTAGTACCTTCCCTTGCCCTTTACTTCCCTTGCCCTCTATTCCTTTGGTCTCTCTTCATTTTCATGAGAGCCTTATTTATTGATTTATTTTCTCTGTATCTTCCACATATGAAAGAAAACATTCAATCCTTGACTTTCTGAGTCTGACTTATTTCACTTATCATGATATTCTCCAGTTTCATACATTTACCAGCAAATTACACAATTTCATTTTTCTTTATGGCTGAGTAGAACTCCATTGTGAGTGATATATATATATATATATATATATATATATATATATATATATATATATATATATATATCATCTGTTGATGCGTACCCAGGATGGTTCTATAACTTGGCTATTGTGAATTGTACTGCCATAAACATTGTATGCATGTAGCACTATAATATGCTGATTTCAGTTCTTTAAGATAAATACCAAGGAATGGGATAGCTGACCTAGCCCATTTTTAAAGGCAGCATTCCCACAGTAGGGGCAGAGTGAATAATCTAGGGATCCATTCATATTGCTTATCTCTAATATATCCTTCACTTTTTTCTTCTTCCTTCTTTCTACTAGTTGGCTGTCCCCAGCTTGAATGAAGAACCTGGAATGAAACTCACTTGTCTTGCAATAGATCCTAGTCTCCTGAATCACAGAGTGTTGCCTGTACGATTAGGTTTCTCTGACTTCAGGAAAATAGAGACAGGTGTATTAAAAAAAATACCAGCAATTACAAAGACAGGTGCCCTTAGGCACTTTCGTAATTGAAACTCAGAGGATCCCTCTCTGATGGGAGAAAGGAACTGGACAGAGTATAGTTATAAAGACTCAAATCTCATTAAGGAAGACAGCCTGCCTGCCCTGTAGGGCTCTCCAGCAATAATAGCTGGACTTTCAGCATATTAAGTATCAAATTAATGTGTGGCTTATCAGCCTATGCACAGAGCACAATATTGGCTATCACAGCATTCTCCAGACCTACACCGTAGGCCACCAGCTCAAACATGGCTTTTAGTTGAAATCTGAGAAGTTTTAAAAATACTAGTAAATACCAAAAAATTTTACATAAAAGTGGGCTATGGGCCTGGGAATTAGGGTCTTTGAAAATTTATAGGTGATTCTAATGTGCAGTAAGGTTTGAGAATAATGCTGTAGGTCAAGTTTCCAAAAATCTGTTTTGAAAAGGTCATAGAGTAGATAATTGTGGTTTTGCAGGCCACAACTATGCCACAGACAAATAAATAGGAGTACCTTGTTTCTAATAAAACTTTATTTACAAAAACAAGTTATGCTCTGAATTTGGCCAGTGGTCCATAGTTGGCTGACCCCTGTTAAAATCTTTATTAGTAGTAGTAATAGTTTTTAATTTTTTAAAAAACAGTCAAAGTAACCTCATCATATGATTTCTATTGCTGTGGTTGGAAATAGTTCACATTTAGGTGGCAAGAACATGAAAGTGAAGACCCCAAACTCCTTGGGGTCACTACATTCAAATGCCAAAGAAAACTGACCAACTTTTGCCATACTACAAAAAAGACACTCTCTTGGCCTCCTTTTATACTGGCAATGGGAAAGAAAAGAAGAGTAAGAAAAGAAAAAAGAAAGGAAAAAAATAAATGAATAACAACAGCAAATAAAGAAGAGGTTGAAGTTTGCATAAGTTAATTCCAAAACAGTCTTACTCCAAAAGAAATGTATGCACCCAAGACGCTTCCAGCAATTGTAGCGAAGCCAGCAGTCATGATGGCATGGAGTTCTGACTTGGTGATATATGGTAAATATGGTCGGACCAGCAATGGAGACTCTGTCTGAAGAAAGAGAAGGGTAACTGGATTAAATGTGACCTTTAAAATCTTAGAGGAGGTGTGTAATCAGCACCACATTTCAATATAAATCCATGTTTCTAAGAGTCAGCCAACTCTATCAGCATCACTTGAGAATTGTTAGAAATTCAAATTCTCTGACTTATGGAATCAGAAACACTGTGGGTAGGGCCAGCAATTTGTGTTTTTACAAGTCTTCCAAGTAATTATGAGGCATGCTCAAGTTTGAGAATGTCTGCGTAATCTGAGCTCTAGGTCATTGTCATATACAGTCATGGGTAAACCCTGACATTTTTGAAGCTAGTTATAGGGTGCCTCCACCTAGCCTAGGACTGGATTCTATGAGGACTTGGAGTACATTACTAAGGGCTGACCAAGTAACTGCCCAGTGGTCTGGCTCATGGACTGGGGATTTCTTGTGGGCTGTGACTTTTCACCATTTAGTTTCATCTACACAGACTCGACCTGTTTCTGAAGACTTCAGGAAAATAGAGACAGGTGTATTAAAAAAAATACCAGCAATTACAAAGACAGGTGCCCTTAGGCACTTTCGTAATTGAAACTCAGAGGATCCCTCTCTGATGGGAGAAAGGAACTGGACAGAGTATAGTTATAAAGACTCAAATCTCATTAAGGAAGACAGCCTGCCTGCCCTGTAGGGCTCTCCATCAATAATAGCTGGACTTTCAGCATATTAAGTATCAAATTAAGTACTATAGGAGCATGGGTGCAATTTTACAATTTTCTCCTTATTATTTCTAATTGTTATATAAGATTGAATGCATTGAGCCTCAGTTTATAGACTAAATAGTAGTCCAAATACGTGAGCCTTCTTATCCTGCAGGTAGTAGCAATCAACTCAAGATGGTGCCCTAATTAGTCCTAAGATATTTTATGACTGTAATTATTCTAATTTCAACTTACAGGGGAAGGAAGTATGTTTCATCTATCTCCATTAAAGAGCTCCAGGCTGGTGAGCTGGGCTTACCAAGAAGGCTCAATCTGCTTGAAGGAATTGGAGCAGTAGGAAGCCTGGCATTTGGAGCTGTGTTTCACTGGGTGACTCCATTTTCGCTTCAAGTCCAATTTCTCTGGACAGTGGTTCTGGCCAATATTCACCCTTGGCTTCATTGGTGCATTATTCCATTCTCCCTGAAGCTATATATCCTGAGGGATGAGTAGCTTATTACCATTCCTCACTTTTCCACCTCTTAGGAATACTGCTATTTTGAGGGACATCCTTGGCATCAAATTTCTTTGCTTAAATGGACTTTAGGCAAAAGAGCATTTATCCCTGTGATGAATCAAGGAACTGAAATTTGTAGCCTAAAAGTATATCTTTAATGAGAAGGAAAAAAACATAAAGGCATTTTATACTCATGCTCAGCAAAGACAGAATGTTGGCTAGTTTGGACAAGTTGAGAATGAGAATTATTTATACAGCTGCATGGTTGTTGGCAAAAGGCCTTTGTTGGTTTTCTTTACTGCCACAGGCATTGCAGTGTAGAATACAAGTTTCTTACATGTTTGCAGCTTTAAGATAGTGAAATCCATTTGAGGAGATGAGCTGCTTGTTTCTGAAGAGTCAACCAGAAACCTCAACAATTCAATGAACTCAGAAAAGACTGTAGAGAGAATTTGTATATGAGAAGCCCTATGCTTTAATAAAATACCTCGACTTTTGTTTTCTTCACAACTTACAGGAACCCAATTCCATACCAGTGTATCTAAACACTTCGGAGGTATCTTTCTTTCTTTCTTTCTGGAATCTGGACATTGCCAAAATTAAGGGTTCCTTATTACATCTTTTTCTCCACACTAAAAGAAATGACAATACCATGGTATTTTCCTATTCTGTGTTTCAGAAAGAGACTATCCATTTAGTAGATGTCTTGTATTGCTTGCTTTCTTGGTATTGCAACTTACTTGTCCAACAAATATATTGCCAGCAGCAACTAGAGACTCAATAGGAGATGAGCCCATAGTAACAAGCATTATCCATCCGACCTAAAAGGAAGAAAGGGACAAAGTCAGTGATGAACTGTGTGTATATAACAAAATTCAAAGTGGGGTAAAGTCTTTGAACTGGAGTAAAATATTGAGGCCTTCAATAATCATGGGCAGGTTGGTGATGGTGATAAATGTATGTATAAACCATCTAGCCCATAGAGCAGGCTGATCAAATCCTCCTGTAAGGGTGGTAAGTCTGAGTCATTGTATAGACTTTTGAACATTAGACAAATGATTTCTACAGATATGCTTTATAAAAGTAATAAGTGATAATTGTTAACACTTATGGTAGGCTTTTCTGCATTCCAGGCACTGTTGTAAGCCCTTGACCTGTGCAACACATTGAATCTTTACTCTCTGAAGTATGTCCTATATATTATGCCCATTTTACAGAAGAGGAAACCAAAGTACAGAGTAGTTGTTTTGTCATAGAAAGTGGTTTTGTCAACTATTAAACAGTGAGATTAAACAGTGAACGTGGTTTATGGATCTACTGTTTGTACTGGCCTTTTGTCATAATTTGAATCTGAAAAGTCCCCCAAAGCCCCATGTGTTAAAGGCTTAGTCTCCAGACTGTATCACTATCAACTGGTGGTGAAAACTGTAAAAGGCCATGCCTGGCGGGAGATCTTAGGTCACTGCCACTAGGAGATATTGTGGAATCTCAGTCAATTCCTTTCCCTTTTCACATTCTGGTCATCAGGTGAGCAGGCATTCCCTGCCCCAAAGCAGCAAGGCAAATCAATCATGGACCAAAACTTCCAAAACTGTGAGTCTAAATAAACCTTTCTTCTATAGAAGTTGATTATCTCAGATATTTATCATAGTAATGGAAAGGTGACTAATAAACCTTTCAACCAGTGACCATGATACCTATCTCAGGATGCTGACTTCCTGTTGAATTCTATTTCCTTTCTTTCCACTTAGCTATATGAGTACGGTAATTCTTTTTTAAAAAACATTTACTTTTTGATATTATTTATTAGCATGGGAAAATGGCTACATTGAATAGTGGTTGGAAAAGCAAGATGTAAAATGATGTATAACTTCATTGACAGTTATATATAACATTATCTACATGCATTTATGATACAACAAAGACTCTTATGATCATTTTTTAACATATTTGTATTTGTTTTTAAGGCTTTCTCTCTCTTTCTCTGTGAGATTATTTCACACAAGCTCTATATACTTTCTTATTTTTAAAAATTGCTTTATTTTGGTTCTGGTGATTGAACTCATGGCCTTGTGATGTTAAGCAGGGCTTCTGCCATTGAGCTGCATCCCTATCCTTTTTTTTTCTTTTTAAAAAGGCAATTAGTCCTATGCATTTTCCAAAGATTCTAAGCAGATACATATTATCATCAAATAATATTATTACCAGAATTTTAAAAATTTGGATTCTAAATGTGAGTGCAGTAATTCTGAATATATAAACCAATAATCAGGAAATTATGAGTACTGGAGCTCACTGTGATTGCAAATTCTGCTGGTTTTCTTATTCTTTCTTTCTCTCTTTCTCCTATCTTTTCTCTTTCTGGTTATATATTTTGATTTATTTACAGGAATCAAAGGAAGGCTGTGGTTGTCCCTCAAGGCCTGTGTGCACTGGTCTGCTTCCATATGCATCCAAACTAGCTTACAAATATCTAGTTTTCTGATCTGACATGAGAGTAGAACTCAATTACTGGAGCAGCACGAATGAGATTAACTCTTCTTTAAAAAAAAAAATGTGTGCTTATAAAACTGCCCCACCACCAGAGTAAAAAACACTTCACTTTCCTGCTTTAATTTCTCTAGCAACTCTAAGATGAGGCATACCTACTTTGGTAACTTTCTAAAGACAAGTATGTATGAGGCCTAGTGTAGGTAACTGTGAGGAGAGATCAACACCACTTCCCCGTGGCAGGTATTTGACCTCAATTGCTTGGTTAAAGACGTAACTGCTATGGTTTCATGGAGTTATCCAGTGGATTATAAATCAAAGCCCTATTAGAAGACCCTGAGATAAAATTCCTCTTATGGGCACGTGCAGGATTTGGCGTTTCAATGTAATAACTTTGGTGATGGAGGTGAATATTTGTAGGAAGAGAAAGGCACTTTGGAAATGCCTGGATAAAAGGCATTTAAGACTTTGTACCTGAAATAATCAACTCTGCACCTGTCACCTTGTATGTCCCAATCCCAGTACCTTTCTGATGATCCACTGCATCAATCCCATGTAGTATAACATGGACATCACAGTGCTGAAGAAAATCACAATTGGCAAGACCTGGGGATGGGGGAACAGAGTTAGTTATGGGTCAGTGGTGACCCCAATAATATTGCAGGTTTACTATTAGGTCCCCTCTCTGCCTCCTGTCTCCATCAGAGACACCATAACAATGCTGGAAACGCCTCTTGAACTGACAACCCTTTTTACCAGGCAGCTTCCCTCTCTAAGTCCCTTATTCTAATTTCTTCTAGATAGGCTTGAGTGTCAAATTGATTTGACTATGTCCCCTGAAAGTTCAGGTGTTGGAAACTTAATACCCAGATTCATATGTTAATGGCACTTGGAGGTGGGGTTTTTGGGAAATAATTAGGATTAGATGAGGGCGTGAAGGTGGGGCCCCCATAGTGGCAGTAGTGGCTTTATTAGAAGAGAAAAGAGATCTGAGAGCGTTCACTTGCCCTGGCTCACCATCTGATGCCCTCTGCCATGTTATGAGGACCAAGAAGGTCCTGATCAATGCCAGCTTGTTGGAATTAGACTGCCCCCACCTTAAATTTGTACTCTAAATAAACCTTAATTCTTTATAATAATTATCCAGTTTCAGATATTGTTGTAACAGAAGAAAGAAGGCTCAACAAGTATATTTCATAGAAAATGTGACCTCTCCCCTTCTTATTTTATTTTATTTTTAGTTTTAGGTGGACACAATATCTTTATTTTATTTTTATGTGATGCTGAGGATCAAACCCAGTGCCTCATGCACGCCAGGTGAGCACTCTACCACTGAGCCACAACCTCAGCTCCGACCTACCCCCTTCTATGATGAGGTTTTCTTAGAGAAAAAATACTATTTGGGCGGGGGAATTTTGATAGCTAGAGCCACAAACTGAAGGCCACTGGAAAATATTCTCATTGTCCTGATATTAAAAAGACATGAGCTTCATCCCTAATTAGCAGAGTAACCTGGGTCAAGATGAATCGTGAGGCACTTCAGATCCTTATTTGTAGCAGCTGTGCGGTTCAGATAATTCATGGTTGATACTTACACACAGTGCCTCCCATGGAGTATGCATTAATTCTTTTAGCTTTAGAAATAAAAATTATTTTACCTATAGATTTTTGAATCACTAAAGTGGTGACATTTTGAAGACCAGGTTAGTCCTGTGTTAAAGAAGGATGTAACTGGCTAGATCCTATTTCTCTGTTGCTCTTTTGGAACCTGCAGCCTGTGTTTCTACAGGGAGCAGTTTCCACCTACATAGACCACACACAGCTGTGGGCCAGGTCTCTACTCAGCCCCACTCCACCTCAACAATTCCCCACTATTCCCCCAGCTAAATGGCCAGATGATCTGCTACCAGAGACACAGAATGACCAAGGACAATTTGTACAAGATCTAATTTAGAAAAATCTATTAATTATATATACTAAAATACATTTTATGCCAGTATCAGAGCTCACTATGAGCCTCTTATTGGTTTTAATGGGTAGGCAGAACTTTCCTGAAAGCCTGAAGGAGTTAAAGGGGCTCATCCAGGGATTCTGAGTTGGCAGGAAAGCAGAAAGGCCACTGCCCTGGGGCAAGAGAGGAAAAGACAAGGTCTGAAGCACCCTTATTATCTGTATAGCAAGTTACTCCTTCCTGTGGTTTTATTCTTTTTCCAATTCTCAATTCATTTCACGATATAAGCATCTTTCTATCTCACTCTATAAATGCTTGACCCTTCTCAGATAAGGCTTAGTTATCTCAACACCAAAGCATCAGGTCAGCAGCTTTAGAGAAGATTCAGACCTTGATCTGATCATTGTACATTTATACATGTATTAAAATGTCACACCCCATGAATATGGACAATTATTATGTGTCAATAAAAATTAGAAGTAGGGCTGGGGATATAGCTCAGTTGGTAGAGTGCTTGCCTCGCATGCACAAGGCCCTGGGTTTAATCCCCAGCACCACCAAAAAATTAATAAATAAAATAAATAAAAATTAAAAGTATATTTTAAAAATCCAGTGTGGGGTGCAGTGGCATACACCTATAATCCCAGCTACTCAGGAGGCTGAATCAAGAAGATGGCAAGTTCAAAGCCAGCCTCAGCAACTTATTAAGGCCTTAAGCAACTAGTGAGACCCTATTTCGAAATAAAAATGAAAAGGGCTGGAGATGTATCTTAGTGGTTAAGTGGTTAAGTGCCCCTGAGTTCAATCCTTGGTACCAAAAAAAAAAAAAAAAAAAAAAAAAAAGATCTAGCATAAAAATTTGCCTAGCTGAATGGAGTAATTTAGAGGAAAATTTGGAATCTCTAAGGGAGAAAATGTATGAACATTAACACCACAAGAGAGAAAGCTGAAGAAAAGCCCAAATATAACTTTCTGACTCAATATTTGCAGGGACTTGCCAGAAGAGGGTGAATTTTCTGATGCTTGTGGGAACCCCAAGAGGGAATTGACTGTGCCTAGGCAGAGGCCAGGCTGTCTCTCTGTTGATTAGCAGAATGCCAATCCATCAAGATTGCTTCAATAAAGGTTGTACCGGAGCAAAGATGAAAAAGGTGAAGCCTGGGGATGGCTCTGGAAGAACACGGGTTAATGTGCTTGAGCAGCTGTCCCAAACTGCCTGTGACTGAGGAGTGCAGAGTGCAGAGCTGTTACCTGGAAGCCATTGGGGGCCATATGCCCACTCATTGCTGATTGCATAAATTTCTTTCTCCTGAATCTGAAGTTCAAGATACTATCACCCCATAGGATTCTTCATAAATACCTCAGCCAAGACCACCCCCCAACTTCCAACATTTGGATATTTGTGACTTCCCCTAGATATTTCCCTTAATGCTATACAGAAGTAACCTGGTGAAATGTGTGCAATCCTCTGACTTCAGATAACACTGCAAATGCAAAAGGCTGGTGATGTGTTGCATACCTAAAACAAGCCCAGCAATTATATACCTGGTGTTTGGTCAGTTAGGTTTTATCTGAACATCTACAAAGATTGAGAAGCTACTGACAAGACAGGAAGTACATGGAAAAAGTTCAGATTTACCTTAAATGCAAAGAAGTGGTCTGTGTATTTTTCACCAAAGACAAATTTAGCACCAGCATCAGTGTAACCCAGAAAAATCTGATTTGAGAAAGAAAAAGAGATCATTAAAACCACTGAAATGGTCGTTACAAGCCATCGTATCACTAGGCTCTGCAGAGGATGAGAACCATGTCCAATGAATGGCATAGAGCTGTATTTTTAAATTATGTCTGCATAAAGATTTTCTGTCATATCTGACATTAAGTCTGACTCTAGGATGCTAAAGAACTAGCTGAGTGTGGTAATTTGCTCTAGCAAGCCAGAGATAGTACACAGGTGCCACTTGTTACTACTGGATGCAAAGGAAGCTCATTTCTCTGTTTAGAAACCAGCTTATAAGGGTGACATCCCTATGGGCAAGGTGATGGGGGAACAGGGAAAGGGGATGGATGCAGTAGAGAATATAGGTAAGGACAGCAGTAATCATAATTAACTAGACAGATTAATGTATTCCACACAAACAGGTATTTGTCTGATTCACACTATGGAATTAAAATCTGGGTCAAATATTACAGACTTATAAACCTATTTCTGAGATGCCTCAAGGATTACATCCAAATGTTAAAAGCATCTTAAATGTAAAGTATTCTTTTGAAACACTTACCTGAACTTGTGTGCCCAACCAATTGAAAGCAATAAATCCAGGATTAGTCCTTAGAATTAACAGTCCAAGAAGAAATTGTAACCCAATTCCCCAAAAGACAAGTCTCCAGTAAACCTATGCAGAATGACAGAGATATTATCTTATTAGAAAGTTAATGCTGACGTTAGCATAAACATCAAAAGAATCACTGATTTCTTCTTTGGGAGGCCTGAGGAGCCATGAGCAGAGGGTCTTTTGATAGAACCATAGCTTCAAAAGCTTAAGATTGCATTTCCTCTCCTTAAACCTGGGTTTCAAGTCTTTAGTGCTGGTGAGTAACCACTAAGTTCTGATAAGTAACTTAGACACAAAGAGTAGTCTAAGAAGTGTCATTAAAGGAGGAAGGACCTGGCTGTTCTAGTCTTACTGTAAGTATTAGACAAATATAATTACTTCTCCTGCCTGGAAAATTGAAAGGCAGAACATGATTTCTCAGTATGTCTGAGGTTTGTTGATCTGACAATTTTATAAGTGAATTAAATGAAATTCTACCCTATTGAGGGGCTCTTATTTCGCTATAAAATGAACCAATAACCTGTAATGCAGATGTAGGATGTGCAGCAGAAATAGCAATCATCTGTTTTCATTTTTTGGTGGGGAAATGAGCTCTGAAAAGATCTATGGGAGCAAAGGCCCAGTCAGTGGAGATGCTTACCCAAACAGGCCAAGTGATTTGGATCATATCAGGTGAACTTGGCCTCAGATTAATGCTTTTTCCTTGGGTCAATCTTTTAGTCAGAAAATTCTTCCAGGGCTTGCCATCATGATTCATATGTGAGAGCTTCTAGGTCTCAGAATTCTTTTTTTTTTAATATTTATTTTTTGATTTTCGGCGGACACAACATCTTTGTTTGTATGTGGTGCTGAGGATAGAACCCGGGCCGCACACATGTCAGGGGAGCGTGCTACCGCTTGAGCCACATCCCCAGCCCGTCTCAGAATTCTTGCCCATTTCATGAATTACAGGCTGACAGACAAGGATGAGGACTGGATTCAATTGGGGGAAAAACAGTATAAGGACAATTTTTTTTTTTTGGAGTAGAAAGCCTGAATTGCAAATAGAATTTGATTAAGTGCAGGATCAAGTGCAAACTATTAAGTAATTTGTAGTCTTGGAAAACTGAGATCAAAATGAATGTGATTTTCTCCGTATGTATGTTGGATAGAGGCAGGGTGTACATGAGTAGAAATAGGATTTGACAAGGAGAGAATGTCCCACTGGTTGTGTAACTGGAAATTACTGAGAATGGAATGAGATAGTAATAGACAGTACTTTGAAATTTCCAGAAGAAGGGCAACTTAACCACTTAAATTACAGAAAATTAAGAAAAATATTGAATAGTTAAATTCTTTTATGATCATTATTTTGATCATATTTTTCACCTGGGGAGGGAAAACAAAACAAAACAGAAAGTCCAACCAATTTCATACTTACTCTGGTTGGGTACTTGGAAAATATAAACAACAGGATAATGTACATTATGAGTCCACCAAAGGACACCAGCTGCTGTTGGCCCAATTTGGCGGTGTCGAAGATCAGCCAGAAGATGATCGATAGGATCAATAAACTCCAAATCACCCTAAGCAAACAAAAGGGAGGTGTTGGGATCATTTGTAGTGCTAACTTGAGGCTTAAACTGACAAATTTAAAAATGCAGACAAGAGTAACATATCCCGGCAGCAGGAAGCTACACTTTCACATATTGTAGCAGACTCTTTTTGGTTGTGGCTAAAATGGCAAATAACCCATAAATTAAACAATGTGTCCCCCTCATTCTGCAACTCAGGCCCTTTACCAGCTCACAGATACACAAAGGGATCAGAGAGAAGAAAGGACATTTGGAGAGGAAGGTCTGGCTATTTCTTTAAAATAGCTATCTGGATTCTCTCTACCTTGTCTTTGGGGATAGGTAAGATGTTAGCTTTGTCCCTCTAATGGAGAATTTGAAAGGTGTCCTCTGCAGCTGGGGGGGCCTCAACAGAGCTAAATTGGATGTTAGGCTGGGTTCTGACTCCCTGGGGAGTCTAATGGGCATGACAAGGCTGATTCATTGCTTTGATGGCAGAACCGGAAAGGCTGTTTGCTATGTTGGGACTGCACAATCCTGATTTATTAGGCCAAGGATGTATGAAGTTTCTTGTTAGAATCCTTGGGGGGTCTCTATGGAGAGAGAGGTCCTGGGAACAACCCAGTAGGGCCACCTGGAAGGAGAGGAGATCCTCTAAAGAAAAGTTGAAGGAAAAGCCTATAGTGGTCACTGAAGGAAGTGCGTCCTAGAGGAGAGTGGGCTTTGGCAATTCATAAGGCCCTTCCTCCAAGGAGGAGGGTCTCCTGCCCAGAGCAGGAAGCCACCTCCCTGAGTTGGAACTGTCCTGGCCTGATCCCTAGATTTGAGGTTGGTAGAGAAGCAGAAAACAAGGAGAAAAGAGAAACACAAGCCAAATCTGGGATGGTAAGATAGAATCTTGGCTGCCTTCCTAGTTTTCATTATTGTATGGGCTGGGACAGCTTCATATTAAAAATACTTCTGGGGTTGGGATTGTGGCTCAGCAGTAGAGCGCTCGCCTCGTATGTGCAAGGCCCTGGGTTCAATCCTCAGAACCACATAAAAATAAGTAAAGAAAAAAAAGGTATTGTGTCCAACTACAACTAAAAAATAAATATTAAAAAAATACTTCTGTAACCATTGGATTATTAACTAAGAGTGGGCAGAAGGGGCGTGAGGTTTTGGCATTACAAAATATGGGATAGATAGTTCCCATTGAATAAAATGGAAAGAATGATGGATGAAAAAATTGTTGTATTTTCATTACAATCTGTGGTCATGATTTTAATATGTTGGTTAGACAAAAAATAGATTAAAAAAGAAAGGTTTATGCTTATCATAACATTTACAGTAGCAAAAAATTTCTGGATGTAGTAGTGCATGCCTATAATCCCAGTGACTCAGAGGCTGAGGCAGAAGGATCACAAGTTTGATCATTAAGGCTTGGCAACTACTTGGCAATCTACTCTGGTAGATTCAGTAGGTGAGCTATTATCAAAGTATTAAAAAATTAAATGGGCTGTAGATGGAACTCTGTGGAAGAGCACCAGAGCACCCCCTGGGTTCAATCCCCAGTACTGCAAAAAAAAAGGTAAAAAGCAAAAAATTGTAAATAAAATAAATGTTCAACCATAGAGGAACTAAAAAAAAAATCATGATTGAATGTATTTTGTAAATAAGATAAATAAGTTGTATTAGGAATATGTATAACTTGTGGGGCTAGGGCCATAGCTCAGTGTGTACAAAGCCGTGGGTTCCATCTCTAGTGCCACAAAAGCAAACAAGCAAACAAACATACACCACCCCCCAAAAAATAACTTGCGTAAGAAAATGGTGTTGGCCAGGGGTGTAGCTCAGTGAAAGAGTACATGCCTATTATGTACTAGACTTGGTTGATTCCCAATACTGCAAACAAAACAAAACAAACAAAAACCTATATTTTTCATTTTGTATTTATGAATAAAGTCTTTAAACAGGTACTGAGATTAGATTTCATGTTGCTGTTCCCTGACCCATGCCAGGACAGATCCTACTAATTGACCCTGAGGCCATGCTATTGAAAAGTGCTAGGAAGACCTAACACTATTGGTGCAATGACTAAAACCTGTACTATCTTATACTCTTAACCACTTTTTGATATGTAGGTGTCTCTCTAATGCAGTACTTGGAAGGTTATTAAATTAATGTTTTTTTGGACCACATTTTATCATTCAGTATAACTTGAAATTAAGGCTACTGATTGTAGGGATGCTTGAACACATTTCAAACGAGTCATCATCTCATCTAGGCCTTGATTTCCTATTTGTAAAATGAAGGCATCATAATGGATTGCTCCCAAGGTTTGTTTCTAGCTTCAATATCCCATAAATGAGGAAGCAATTTTAGAACAAATTTTTGGAATTGTGTTGGAAAAAAAGAATATCTCTCTCAATTGCAATAAGAGAAGCAATTGCATTTACCACTTCAGCCAGAACCAGTGGCTGTTCAGCAGCATTTTGCCTGGGGATATGATCTCATCAATTCGATGTTCATATTTGGCCATCAAGTGATCCCAGACAATGAAGAAGATGGCAGCCACGGTGATCCCAAAAAGAGGAAGCGCTCTGTGAAAATTCAGCACACAGGCTGCAATCACCAAAGCCAGGTAACCTGTCCAGGAGGCAAACACAGACTATGACCATCACTGAAGCCAGCTGGGCCCCAGCTTCCAGCCTTGATCTGGCGAAGGGGAGGTTTAATCAAGAACCAGTGGTACTTGGAATGAACTCATTTTACGTGGGTACTGGCTCCTCTGGGGGAGGTTATTATTAACTTATTTATTTCAAAACAAATCCCTACTATTCGCACCATGAAGTCTAGGAGGAAATGTGGAGGGGCTTCCTCTTCCCTTTTGCCCTTCTACTTGTCCCTAATCCTTTGGCTAAAGAGAAGCTCTACCTCGATGTTAGCCAACTCCCTCATTGAAGAGGACTGTCCAGACTGCAGCCTCACTGCTTCCTTCCCTCCCACAAAAACCCCTGGTGCCCAGAAACCAAGAAAGATACAACCTTGAGGACCTAGGCCTTCTGGTTTCCTCAGGGCTGGCCTTGAATAAACCTGATTTCTTTTTGCCAACACTCATCTCTCCAATATTAGTACCCAGTGAGAGGCAGCCCAGATACTTGATTCTGGTCACAGAAAGGGTATTATTTATTTTCTTACAGACTTTAATTCTTGAATCCTGATGCTCAACGATTTAGCTTCTCTCTTTTTACTCTCCCCCCGTCCCCATTCAGATTCAGTAGGTGAGCTACTATCAGAAAAAGTTTAAGTATTAAAGCAACACTGGACAGAGAGGTATTGGTTTTCTAGGTTTGCAGCTTAGAATTGGCCTAAGCTTGAGTAGGGAAATAAACACCTACCAACAATCTCTAAGTGCTACAGTATTTCTAAGGAAAAGAGTGGGAGCAATGACTAGAGCAGGCTTTTGAAGAAGCAGATTCTCAGATGAGAATAAGGTCCCTGTTTTTAAAGGTCAGCAAGCTACAGTCTGCTGGTCTGCTCCTTGTTTTGTAGGTGGCAAGTACAAATACATTGTTTTCTTGTATTTGTACTCTATACATAAAGTTTTATTGAAACAGAGCTATGTTTGTTTAAATATTGTCTGCCTGTTTTTATTTTTTTATTTTTTAACCACAATGGCAGAGTTGCATTGTTTTGATAGTATGTATAATATGTCACCAAGCCTAAAGTACAACCTGCTACAGGAAAGATTATCAACTTTGCTGTTTCCTGTTTCAGCTATCTGAGAACCAGTGACACTTGTGACACTGGTGGTACAGCAATCTTGGATTAATGTCTATAGTTTTGAGTGGGATCATTTACATTTTGTAGACAGAGTGTTCTTATTTATTTTTATTTATTGGTACTTGGAATTGAACTCAGGGTGCTCTACTCCTGAGCTATACCTCCAGCATTTTTACTTTTTATTTTGAGCCTTGCTTAACCTTGTTATCTTGCTTGCTAGAATTGCTGGTGTGTGCCACTGCCCCAGCAGGAGTGTTCTTTAAAATGGGATATGGAGGGAGTAAAAGCAGGAGACATTCTGGTTCTGCCTTCAGGCAAGAGGAGTGGGCTAGTTGGCTCTAGACTCTACATCCTGTATTCACCTGCTACAAGTAGGTTTTTGTTTTGTGACCATCACTGTGTCCTGCCAGTTACTCCAGTTTTTCCAGATTTGGATTAACCAGTGCACCTCTCCAAATCCATATCACAATGACAAAGTCTTTGTGAGCCCCCAGAGCAGGGTAGATGCTAAAGTTTGAATGTTTTCCCTAAAGTTAACAACTTAATGCCCAAATTCATATGTTAATAGTTAGGATTAGATGATGTCTGATGGTGGGGCCCCCTTGTGACATTAGTGGTTTTATAAAAAGAAGAACAGAGAACCAGGCTAGCATGCATACTCTGTGTCAAATTAGGGTTCCTTTTGCCACATTATGCTGCACAAAGAAGGTCCTTGCCAATGTTAGCATCTTGACACTGGACTTCAAGCCTCTGGAACTGTGAGCTAAATACACCTCTATTCTTTATAAATGACCTATTCTATTGTATACAATGGTATTTCTATTGCTTTTTGGTATTTACCTGCCAGTAAAATGCCCCAAATGATGTATCGAATAGTGGTTTTGTGTTTTTTATAAAAATCATAAACTGTATCGTACTTCCTTTCCAAATACCTGGAACACAAAAGCAAAAAGGCAGAGAGAAGTAAGCATGAAATAAACCGTGATGCTAAGGCTAGATTAATCTTTATAAAGCAAGCAAGAAAACAACAAACATTCACAAGGCATATGTCTTACAAAATAGAAATGGGAAATTTATTTCATTTTAGATGAAAATCAGCCATGGGTTGGATTAATCTTCACAGAATTGAGTGTGCCAAACCCTGAGGAATTAGATGTGGAAAACATGTTCCTGGGAACAGAGCAGGGAAGATGAGTAACTAACTAAAAGCTGAGATAACCCATATTTCACTGCAGAATTGTCGCCACCACAGTAACGTATATTCATGAGAACTCTGTGCAACTTAATCTTGTACCAAAGACAATTTAGTAATAAATCATTTGTAAGTAATAGCAGCACAATTTCTTTTAAAAGCTTCATGTAACAATTGTACCACACTTTTTTTGCAAAAAATTTTCACATAAAATCTGAAGATTATGTGGTGAAATATGGTAAATCATGAGAGTCCTTCTGAATAGGAAGTATCAGAATAGATCAGTCATAATGATGGGTATTATTGCATGTTCCTCTCATTGTGATGTGTGTGTGAATATGAGTACTGAGCATTAGAAATGCCTTGGAAGATCTTGGGTGAATAAAAGTAGAATAAATACCATGTTTTTCATGATCTATTTTAGGAAAAGCTAATAATATCCATCCTCAGTTGTGGATATGGTGTTTTTAAAAAAAGTATCAGTGACAGAAAGTGACATTTAATAGGGTACATCTGTCTGTTGTAGGTTGACTTTATTTTTAATTGTAGGGGATGTGTGTTGTTCATTATAGCAACCTGACTCCACAGAGCAGAGTGGTTGGAGAAACACACTTAGGTTATTTGGTTTATCTAGGCTGAACAATTTCCAAATGCCTGGTGGTTATTTCAGTATCAATAACACAGTGAAACCTGAGTATATCTGACCATGAGAATTTCTCAGCCCCTTCTGGGTCAAAAATCATAAGTAAAATAAAGGATGAAATTCATCAGTTTCTGGTGGTTAATATTCTTGATGGTTTATATGTGACAAGACCTTCCAACTCTAATTCTGACTGATTCTATTATACCTTCGTATATATAAAAATCATATTCCTCAAACCCAGCAAGGTGGCACATCCCTGTAATTCCAGCAACTCAGGAGACTGAGACAAGAGGATCATAATTTTGAGACCCATCTCAGCAACTTAGCGAGACCCTCAGCAACTTAGCAAGACAATTTTTCAAAATAAACAATTAAAAGTGATGGGATGTAGCTCATGGTAAAGTGCCCCTGGGTTTAATTCCCATTATAGGGAAAAATATTCTTTCAGAGATGTAGAATTTTAAATCAAATTTATGTGGGATTTCCAAAATGGATAAATATTATAGTGTTATCATAAGAGTACCAGACAATCTTGGACTAGGGATCAAAGGCTGAAATTCCAAGTTAGTTCTGTTTTTCTCTGGCTTATTGACCTTAGGTAGGTCACTTCTCTGAGCTTTTTTCCTGGTCCCAAAATTAAAGGTAATAATCTTGCCTCTCCTACATTATGGTAGGAAACTTGGGATACATAGTAAGAGCAACAGTTGTTGAGATTTAAAGTGGATTGAGTTTTGAGAAATCGATTGTTATTGATTGACATTGAGAAGATAAATTAACTACTTTTGTATGGACTAGAGCGATTAGTTGGTAATTTGCACCTTTAATTAGAAGACTGTCCTGGGTGAATTTAAATCTAGATATTGGGTTCCCAGAACATCAGCCCTCTGAATTGACTACATCGATCCTCCTAGAGCTCCATTAATTTTTCTGAAAATGGTGTTGCGTGGGTGGAGATGGGAGTGGTGACAGTTTCTAATAAATCATAACAAGTGTTAAAATTTAGAAGGGGATAAAACAAAGGGACTTATACAAATAGGAGCCCAGGCATCATTATTCCCTAGTTTAAACACTCTACCCTTTCTGATGTGTGTCCTGGTCATCCTCCATGTCTTCTTCTTCTTCTTTCCTTAGAGAATCCTGCTCAATGTTGACCAGCTCTTCACCCTGGAAATCATTAGAGCTGAGATGAAATAAAAAAAAAATACTAGGCATTATGGACTGTGTCTCCTTTGCTCAGAATTGTGACCAAGAATTTCCAATAGGTCTTTTTAAATTTTTATGCAAGAATATGGCTCCTATTATCTACTGCATAGACATTTTTTCCTCCTATAATTATGAGAAATTCAGGATCACACTTATCTCTCCCTTTTCTCCCAGAGGAGCCGTTGGCATTCTTTCCTTATGGGAACAGGCTCATCTTTCTGCTTTTTCTCCTGTCTCTACTGTAATTATTCAACACCAGTTCTGTTTTCAAGCAAGTGTTAAATGAAGTTTAATACCAGAGGCTGCATAAATCTCCCTTTATACTATACCAGCTCCAGTTTCCAAAGGACTGAGACCAAAACTACTTTTAGTTTTCTGGCAAGCTCACTGCTTGGTCTGCAGAGGTGAATCCTAGCTCAGCATCTTCAAGAGATGACAAACCAATGTTCCCTTGGGACATAACATCCTTCTATCATTTGGGTTGAAGGGGAATATTAATATTTCCCTTACCCAGCAAGGCCTGCTCTAATTAGTGGAATGCAGTATATATTTGAGCCATCTTTCGTGGACACTCTTTCTAGGTACAGTCTGAGCTCTCAAATATCCACAAACCATCTTATTCCCAGGAAGGCACAGAAGGTTTTTTCCCTTTCCCATTCTGCAATAATGTCTCATCTGATAGGTCTGGCTGTTGTAACCAACAGCATGGAAGCTTGCGGTGAGGGGTATACAGATGTGGAAACAGTTTTGAACATGCACCAAGAGATAGGGTGTCAAATTTCAGCTTTTGTCATGTGTTATAACCACTGTGGCCTCTGATTCTCTGTACTTTATATTATAAATTGTTAGCATGCTTCTTAAAAGAATGAATCTTCAATGATCACATAGCTCTGCTGGGCGAGGTGATGCAAACCTATAATCCCAGTGACCTTGGAGGCTAGTGCAGGATCACAAGTTCAAGGCAGACCTGGGTAACTTAAACCCTGTCTCAAAATTAAAAACAAAAACAAAAACGGAATGAGGTTGCAGCTTAGTAGTAGAGTATCTCTGGGTTCAGGCCCCAGGACTATAAAGAAAGAAAGAAAAAGGTCCCTTCAGTCCTCTAATGCCAAATTCTGCTATACTTCTGATTCAGATTACCTCATTTTCTGGGATGGCTAACAATTGTCAGATGGTTGTTATTTTCTTGCAGTGACAGTGTCCCAAGTTATCTACTCTTTATGCAAAGCCCAGCATTAGTATCCTTTTCTCTTTTTTCAATACTTTCTTATCTTTTTAAAAACACAACACCAAAACCCCCTTGACCCCTACAATCATAGGGCATCTGCCCTGCACCTTCCCTACCTGCAAAGAGTTGTCCCTTCCCTGTCTGGCCACTGCAAAGTGTTGCCTTTACTTTTCATGACCACTTCCCTACTTCCTGTTCACTGCAGAACCACTGTGATTATGTTTCTACTGACCAGCTTCTGCCAAAGTCAAATAGGGCCCACTTTGCCAAATCCAGTAGCTATTCCTCAGTCTTCACATTTCTGATTATAGTTGTAAAATGGATAAATAAATTTTTTTTTAAAGTAGACTTTTTAGAGTAGTTTTAGGTTCATGGCAAAACTGAGGTGAAAGTACAGAGATTTTCCATATATCCTCACACAGCCTCTAGACTATAACATCCTGCACCACAAGTGTATATTTGTTACAACTAATGAAGCAGCATTGACACATCGTTGTCACCCAAAGTCCACAGTTTACATTTAAATGCACTTTTATCGTTGTGCAACTAACATATACTCACCATGGTAGCTTCGTGCAGAATTGCTTCATTGCTCTAAAAATGCTCCTGTTCATCCTTCTCTTCTCCCCAACTCCTATAAACCATTAATCTTTTTACTCTCTCCATAGTTTTGTCTTTTCTAGAATGCCTTATATTTAGGATGGTACAGTATGTGGCCATTTCAGATTGGCTTCCTTCACCAGTACCATGCATTTAAGATCCCTCCAGTTCTCTTCATAGTTTGATAGTTTTTTCTTGTGCTGAAAAACATTTTGTTGTCTCAATGTACCACATTTATTTATCCTTTCCTACTGAAGGACGTCTGCTTCCATGTTTTGGCAATTATGAATAAAGCTGTTATAAATGTCTGTGTGCAAGTTTTTATGTGGACTTAAGTAGTTTTCTTTTTTGTTTATGGAAGAATAATTAGCGGCACAAACACTTTTTACAATGTTTTACATTGCTACCTAATAAAAGGGATAGTATAATCTTAATATAGATGA